CGACTCAATTATCATGTTATCCCAGACCTTCATGATTAAAAAAGGATCTTCTTTTAGATTTTGGAATAATAAAAGGTAATAAGAACACATTTTGCAGATATGATCATCGATAACAAACACTTACATGGTGCAGATTTGTTTTGCGACGGTACCATCGGACTGTTATCGTATTTCCACCTTCATCTCCCAGGAAACCAACATGCAAGGGCTGTGTAGATTACATATAACTCAAGACAGAACTTGTTATTGATATAAATGGCAAAGAGGTTTTACCTGGTGAACATCTCCAATATAATGTGATAAGAACATGAGAGCCTCTGTCAAGTTGTCTGCAGGCAAAGACTAGTCACTGCTCTACGCTCCGCAGAAGTGAAACTGAAGCTTAGTATCGGATTCACTATAATCTCACTCACAGTGGTAGATATTATGCGAGTTTTGAGAAGCCGACATAAGTTGCATCGTGTAATTGAAAATGGCTCCTGTCACGCACCGGTCTTGATGCTTATGAGTGTCGTGGCAATCCCCTTCACAAAAGACAGAACATACAGTCATATAGAAAGCTGAACATACAGTCATAGAGAAAGGTTTAATAAATTGGAAGAGAGAGGGAAGAGTAAACCGACGACAATACTCGTAGTTGCATCTGAAATCAGGTGTGTCAACATAGTGCAAAGGGCTAGTCCATCTCCATTGCCAATGGTGTTTGATTTCATCAGGCCATGAGCAAACAGATGCAAGATCTCCTTCTGCTGATTCAGGCAGAAGTTTCTTCACTGCAGCTACGGTTTCTTCCTCAAAGTATCCCTGAGGAGTGAAAATGGCATTTATCAGAGAGATCACAAAAGGTACTTTTTTTTTTGTCTGCAGAAATATCCACTCACTATAACAGTAATCTCTTAGATTTTTCTTAAAAGTTGTAAGAGCTGAATTGATCTTCAATTCGGTAATAAAGTTCTCATATTTAATAAATCATAGTGATTTTAGGATTCAGGCTCAGAATCTAATTAAACAAAATCCTATAATTTTTGACCTCGGCAATTTTGCAGACGGCGTAGTGACCTTCTTTCCCCCAACACAAAGCTCCATGGATGAGCTGTGTAAGCACGAGTACTCTCGCAACCCACAGTCGCAGCGACAAACCCATCCTGTAAAAGTTATAAAAACTTTCGATTCTTTTTAAAAAAAATTGTGTGATTGGTTTTGCAAAATTAGAAAGGGATTTTTTCTATTTCGGTTTGAAAATTGGGGAAGTCAAACTGTCAAAGAGGTATCTTCACAAAAAAAGCCTTGATCTTTTCAAAATTTTGATTTATTTGTTCGACTTTATAAATATCTTCCAAAACTAAAACTTAAAAGTAATTTCATTTCAAACCAATTCACACCAAAGGAATGACATATTTGATAATTTCCCTTTACAATAAGGCGAGTCGTTTGCTGATATTGATGTGAAATTCTTTACATATAAAAGTTAATGTTCATATTGGTTCTTGTTAGAAAGTACAGACTTTGGTTTATTTGCAAATTGCGAATTTTCTAAACTGGAAACTTCAGGGCACTTTTAATCCTAATCCTAAGAGGCAGCAAGCTTTTGCTTCTTCCAGTTGTAAGCAGCTTCGATGATCCTAAGATTCGCCACCTGTGATTCTTCTGGGAACATATACTCGACGTATTCTTCATACCTGCCAATTTTTTCACATTAAACTTTAGCATTTTGATTCTCACATTTCAAACATAACCAAATCGAGAAATTATATATGTATGCAATGCTTACTCTGTAGAGCCGTCTTCTCTACTTATCGCCTTTCTCTTCTTCAGCTTCTTCGGGAGCTTTGATTGAACCAAGCTAACGTTCCCGAGCTTACCAAATCCCATCTCCATGTTAAGCCATTCCTCCAAAAGCGTAGCACGCTCTTCTTTCAGCTCCGGAGTGGTCTCTGTGTAGTAAGCATTGGCTCTATCCAAGATCCCTCTGCTCTGGCGCGGCTGATGCAGTCTCTTTTGCGTTCGGTGGCATCTTCTTCTTCCTCGTCTTCTTTGTGTTCCGCAGCAGAAGCTTCAAACTTGGCAAAGCTAACCCAAACTTACAATGCTTGGTACGGTCCAAGAGTCTCTCATATAAAGCCCGTGTCCTTTCTAACTCCCCTTCTGATATCTCAAAATCAATGTACGTCTGCCACAAAACAATATAGAGAATTTAGTAATCCAATCGGTTCAGAAGTCAGAGAAATCTCAGACTGAAAAAAAACAAAACTTTACCTTCCATAGCAGCTCGGGCATGTCTAGAGCAGGCTGAGAAATTGCGAGTTCAAAGATAGCTCTAGCTCGTTCTGTTTCAGCAAGAGACATCTCAAACTCAGCATACTTTCTCCAAGCGTAGCAATTGGCAGGAGACCATTCAAGATACCGCTCGTATAATTTTCTACATCTATCTATGTTTCCCAACTGGAGCTCGATCTCAATGTATCTCTTGAATATCTGTGTTGCAGGGGTAAAATAACCACAGTAATAAGTAAAGATGAGCAATGAGAAATAATGTAAACCATTCCAAGATTATTCGTAGTCAGGACTCAGGCTTACCTTATCTTTTGGAGCTTTACCAATCGCATTTCCTAATATCTTCCGTGCACCCGTGAGATTCATTTGCCTGAGTTCATATTGTGCAGCGAGCAACCATATCTTGCCAAAAGAAAATTTGGTGTGGGGGATAAGCTTGAGGCATGCTCTGTAAAGGTTTAGTAAGACAAATGTAAAGAGTCAGTCTATACCGCAACAAGTGAAACGTAGATGAATGTAAAACTTCACAAGTTTTAGAACATACCTGTAAACATCTCGTGTACGCTCCACATCTTCAGTCTCAACCTCTTCATACAATGCATAATTAATCCTACACCAATTAGTCACATCAGTGTCAGTCGTTGAGAAAACCGCAGGATTATACTACAAAAGTCAAAACAACAAAAGCTATGCAAGAATCTACTCTAATAGATTAATCAAGTGAACTCTGCTAAAAGATCGAGAAAGATGATAGAACTAATATCTGCCTAAGATGACAATTAAACCCAAATAGTTCAATTACACGAAACTAAACTGAGCCTTCTAATGCAAACCATGATCAACATAAGAAGCCATTAACGAAAGGACAAAAGAACTCACCAAAGGTAGATATATCTTTGCCAATATCGTTTCTCCTCTGCAGGTGGAACATTAGCAATAGCCCTCTCATAGATTTCTCTAACCCTATCTTTGTTCCCAACAGTCTCTTCTAGCCTAACGTAATCGAACCAGGAATCGTAGTTCAAAGGGTTCTTCCTCACTTCATCTTCATACTGAAACCTCCTCTTCCCAACAATGGCGTCTTCAACGCCTTCCTTATCCCCGTACTGTTTCTCAAACGCCACAAACTTCCTGTACAAATCCTCAGCTCTTCCTTTAGGAATATGATCAAGAGCAGACTTGTAGATGAGCCTAGCCCGTTCTACTTCCTTGCATCGTTCTTCAAATTCAGCAAACGCAACAAAGAGAATCTCAGCTTCTTCATCGTCTGCAAGCTTCTCCCTGGCGCGTTCGTAAACCTTCCTGGCGAGCTCAACTTCACCACACTTCGTCTCAAACTTTGCATACCGAACGTAAGCAGAGACTTTTGGATGGCAAAGAACAAAGCTCTCGTAGATGGATCTTGCACGTTCGATTTCATTATACTTGAGTTCGAACTTAATAAACGAGAGCCAGCCACTTTGATCCGGTGAAAAATTCATCCACCGCTCGAATATCTGTCTACCTCCGGCGATATTCCCAAGCATCTCCTCCATGTGAGCATACTTGTACCAAAGCTGGTCCACTCGAGGGAGAAGCGTGGCAGCACGATCCCAGACGTTCCTCGCACTGTTGACAAACTTGTTCTTCATCTCAAACTCGGCGTACTTGACCCAGATCGTATGGTTCCGGCCATCTCTTTCCAAGGCTCGCTCCCACACGCTCCGAGCACGCGCGTAATCCGTCTGCGCGTATTTTACCCAGACCTGGATATCACATCCCGGACGGCGGATCTTGTCCTCAAACTCCTTCCGACGTCCGAGTCTGTAGTCGGACAGTTCAGTCGAATCAATGATTTTCTGCTTAGGCGGACGGATCTCAGCCTCCTACCTCTCTCGAGCTTCCCTTAGAATCTGCTCAGCGGTGATTTGCACCGGCGCAGGAGTCTTGTTCTTCACCTGCGTCGTTCGTGGAAGCTTCACTTCCGTATCCTTCCGGGTCATGTACCCTAGTGTACGATCGGAATCGTGGCCGGAGGCCATGGGATCGCCTATTTTTTGTTTTTTCTGGGGTTTTAGAGATTTTGGAAAAGAGGGAAGAAAAAAAGCGTTAATAATCAATTTTTTTTGTAGGAAAAAATAGAGAAAAAATAAGACAACTTCGAAATATAACACTAAAAGCGAGTATGAAATAGGTATCTTTGATTTTTTCCTTTTTTTTTGTTTGGGTCAAGTTTTTTGTCTTTTTCCTTTTCTTCCAGTTCTTCTCCTAAGAAAATAAAATATTATACTTTTTAAAGTTTAAAATAAAATTTTTTTTTTTGTCGTCTGTTGCATTAAACAGCCCAAAATGGACAAAGCATGGTACTGATACAACTTGTTAATAGGTCCAAACAGAAATAAAAAAGAAGCCCATAAACCTACCACTCCAATCTAACAATATGTGGACAGACACGCATAAGACAACTGAGAACAAATAAGCCACGTGTTAGAATTAGAGAAAAGCCGCCGTTGTCTGCAATCACCGACAAGGACAACCTCCGCCGTTGTCTGCAATCACCGACAAGGACAACCTCCGCCGGTTTTCATCACCGACGACTAGGTAACAATTGACTTTCACGAAGCTGTTTCAACCACTGCTCCTTTATTTTGCATAGATCACCGGAGAAAAATGAAAAATCAAAGTCTAATCACCAGATTGATGAATTGCTGGAGACTTTGGAAGCTAAATCGCAGAATTTTCGCCAGACCGTTATAACGTCAGCTCTTCTTATTTTGCTCCAAAACATCCAAATGAACCCTACCTCTTGATTCCATATCACCTTAAGAGAATCTTTACTTCTGTAAAACAGACCTGATCGATTAAAAAGCAAAGAAATTATTCTTTCTAAGAAATAGAAATCAAGCAAATTCGATGAAAGAAAGATTAAGCATCTTCAGCCGAAATTTGAAAAAGAAACATACAAAAGGGGTCACGCAAAAAATCCGGATAGATCCGGAATTATTTATTCAATAAACGGAAAAATTTACAGAAACCGGATTTTGCCGGAAAATTGTGCTCTCTCTCTCTGAAAGATGTTAGAGAGAGAAGAGAGAGAGTCCAAAATAAAACTTAAAAAATATAATATCTATTTCAAAACCAAATGACATATTTGATCACTTCCCTTAATAATGTGCGTCCTTCGTTGATTTTGATATGAAATATGTAACATCTAAAATCAATGCTCGCAGCTTATCTGATAGTGTGTTTTTGACCAAAACAGAGAGATACATAATAAGCCAATGAACAAACTCTTTTAGATCTATTAACACAATCCACCAGATTTTATTAATACAGACAAGGATTTTTGTTGTCTCTGAACATTTCTTCTCCTTTTGCACAGACCTAAGTCACAAGCAGAATCTTACCAATATGTTCACTACTCTCCATAAGGCTATGAGCTTCTGCTGCTTGTGACAAGGGTAGATACTTGTGAATCACCGGTTTTACTTTCCCCGCTTCTATCGCTGGCCAAACAGTCTTCTCCACTTCCGCTACAACAACCGCTTTGTTTTCCTTGCTTCTTGGTCTCAACGCAGCTCCTGTGGAAGCGAAACAGGTTCAAAGTTTTCAATAGGTCTTAAATTTGATCTTGAGATATGATTAACTGGTTGATTGTGTGTTTACGTACCTAAGACAGTGAGACGCTTTGGAAGCAGACTACTTAGTTTTATTTCTGCAATGGCTCCACCCATTAAGCCGATAATACATAACCTTCCATCGAAGTTTAAGCTGTCGAGATTTCTCTGCAAATACGGAGCTCCGATACAGTCCAAGATAACATCCACACCTTTCCCATCGGTTTCTGCTTTCACCTTTGCAACAAAGTCCTCGGTTTTGTAATTTATACAAACATCAGCACCGAGTTCTTTGCAAGCAGCTAGCTTTTCCTCATTTCCTGCCAGTTAAAAAAAGAAATTTGGAAACATTGTCAACAAAAGAAAACGGGGAAAACATAGAGATTACTGATTAAAACTGAGAAGCTTAGACCAAACCTGCTGTGACAAACACTCTCACTCCTTGATGTTTAGCCATCTGAATTGCAAACGTCCCAATTCCACTTGAACCTCCATGAACCTAACATTATCAAGGAGAGAAGACAAAGTAAAAGCTGAGTAATAGATGAAGTCTCTAGTATTGCTTCTAAAAACCCGTAGAAACGTTCTTATACAAAGAAAGAGGAGAAGTGAAATACCAAGAATGATTCACCAGGGGAGAGACGGCCCATCATGAAGACAGTTGACCAAACAGTGCATGCTACTTCAGGGAAAGCCGCCGCATCTTTTAGAGAGATACCGGCGGGGATAGGGAGGACTTGTGCAGCAGGTACAGCAACTTTCTCAGCATAACCTCCTCCAGAAAGAAGAGCACACACCTAACACATAAAGAGAGTCGGAAGTTTAATCCAAGACATCAACTTTACTGGCCTAAGCCTAAAGTGAAACTGAAGGCGATCCAGGACAAACACTCAAAACACGAATTGCAAACAGAAACCTCTCAAATTCTACTTCGAAATGGTCAGTCACTGAATCCTAAATCACTAAGAACAAGAGTGTGAGCACTGAGCAGCATATTCACCAGTCTTAAGTTAAGCTCATAGATTCCATGGTTACCCAAAAACCCCAAATTGAGTATTAATCCCCAATTTCCAGAAACGAAAATCAGAGGAAAAACATGTAATATACCTGATCTCCGACCTTCCAACGAGAGACGCTCTTGCCAATGGATTCGATGGTTCCGGAACACTCGAGACCAAGGTAAGGGCTAGAGCCAGGTGGTGGAGGGTAAGAGCCAAGTCTCTGGAGAGTATCGGCGCGATTCAGAGCAGTGGCGTGAACTCTGATGAGAACCTCGTCGTCCTTCACTTCTGGGTCACCGACTTCTCGCAGCTGCAGAACCTCCGGCGCTCCTGGCTCCGAGATCACGATCGCCTTCATCCTCTCGCTTCCGTATCAAAACTTGCTTCTCTCTCTTTTGTTAGAAGACTGATGGATCAAGCTAAACAGAAGAATAGTGTTGACCAATGCCACTCAACCGCCGCGATTGGGATTTAACCGCTAATAATTGCGTAGGCAGGCGGTTCAAATCGGCGGTAAAAGTAAGTAGACTAGTTTTCAGTCACAACCGCTTTTAAAATAGAGGTGATTTGGCTAAACGCTTCAAATGTTTTGAGTAAAAACAAATGGTTCAATTGTTTTTTTTTTTTTTTCTGTACTGCTATTTTTCACTGTCATATTTCACAGTTTACGATCGTTTTCTTCAATTGCCTTCTTCATAACCACGTAGCCGATGAAGAAACCTCGATATTCATATCAACCATCATCATCGACTTTACGAAACAATAAAATCCAAATCTCGAACAATTGTTAAACGTGTAAGGTGCCGACAAACAAAAAAAATGTGTAAGGCGTTTGATTAATTTTGTTATAAAATAAAATTTATACCGACTTCTTCTTATTTTTAGTTTTTTTCGAGACTTTTCTTTATCCAACAAATCAAGGCCTTGTGAACGAATCACAGAGTAACAGGTGGATCCATGCCGACTTGTTTATGCAAAATCGTGGCGTCTCACGTGGTATTATAATATCTCTATACTAAAGGACCCACTCCGACTCCATTAATGGCGGTCTCGTCTTGTATTTTTTCATGCTTCCCTCCCTTCTCAATTCTTCATGATCTAAGAAGAGAGATCTGATTCTATTCGATTTCGCACTCTCACTTTGTCTCATCTCCGCTTCTTCCGTATTATCTCTTTGGGTTAGTAATTCTTGTCGCTCACACACTCAGATTAGCTCTTATGTTTTAGCTTTGCTCAGATTTACAGAGATCGCATTGTTTCTTTAGCTTTGAATATCAGTCTTATTGGAATTTAGGAAAAATCGAACATCATCCTTCCGAAATAATGGGTCTGATTGGGTTTTAGGGAGTTCATCGATGCTTGATTCATGCGTTCTTTGCCAATCAATCTAAAATTTTGAGCTTTTGTTTAGTTCGCTATATCGGTGATAAACCCTTTTAATTGTTCCGACGAGTTTAGATACAGATTTGAAACAGCGTTCTTGTTGCTCCTCCTTCGCAGTTAACATTAGATTCACTGATTGGTATGAGCTTTAATACTCAAATGCTCACCTTGATGTGAAGTTAATTGGCTAAAGATCAAGTTGAGACATTTGGGAAAGATTCAGATACATAATTGATTTCAGTTCTTGTGCAGACTCTTCTCTCTTTCCGCAATCTGATGGATTATGCATTTGATTGATGCTAAAGAGTTTGTATAAAAATTTGATGCAGGAAAAAAAAATGATGGACCTAACGAAGCTGAAACCTCCTCAGATCACATTTTACTGCTCAGCATTTTCTGTGTTGATCACACTTCATTTGACGATACAGCTTGTGTCTCAGCATCTGTTTCACTGGAAGAACCCTAAGGAACAGAAGGCAATAGTCATCATTGTTCTTATGGCTCCAATCTACGCCGTTGTTTCCTTTGTTGGTTTGTTAGATGTCAAAGGAAGTGAAACCTTCTTCCTGTTTCTAGAATCCATCAAAGAATGCTACGAAGCACTCGTGAGTGTATTCTGTTTTTCTCGTTTGTTATCTTCAAACATAATGTAGACACACATACCAATTGTAAGTTGGATTGTTTTTTTGCAGGTCATTGCTAAATTCTTGGCGTTGATGTATAGTTACTTGAACATATCTATCAGCAAAAACATTGTGCCTGATGGAATCAAAGGAAGAGAGATTCACCATTCTTTCCCAATGACACTATTCCAGGTTTTGTCTCTATCAATCTTCGCAAGGTTTCTTCTATATCCTTTGTGTGTATGCCCGTAATAAAGCTTTGTCTCTATCGTTTTGACAGCCTCATGTAGTCCGTTTGGATCATCGCACTCTGAGACTTTTGAAATACTGGACATGGCAATTCGTTGTCATACGACCTGTGTGCTCGATCTTGATGATAGCTTTTCAAATCATCGGGTTTTATCCTTCGTGGTTGAGCTGGACATTCACCATCGTTCTCAATCTCTCGGTTTCTCTGGCGTTGTATTCACTCGTGATCTTCTACCATGTGTTCGCTAAGGAGCTCGCGCCTCATAATCCACTCGCGAAGTTCCTCTGCATCAAAGGAATCGTCTTCTTTTGCTTTTGGCAGGTAAATAAATCAAAAACAAATCTTTAATTAACGACAACACAAGAAAAAAAAAGAAGCTGCTGTTCTTTGAATTCATGTCACTGAGACTGTGTTGGTAACTGTGAAACTGCAGGGAATAGCATTAGACATTTTGGTGGCTACGGGAGTCATAAAGTCTCACCATTTCTGGTTGGAGGTAGAACAAATACAGGAAGCTATTCAGAACGTGTTGGTGTGTGTTGAGATGGTCATCTTCGCAGCGGTGCAGAAGCATGCTTATGATGTTGGTCCTTATAGCGGCGAGACCAAGAAGAAACTCGATAAAAAGACCGAATGATCATTGTCCACATGGTCCGGTTAGAGTGTGGAAAATAAATCGACTGGTTTCATCTCATCAGCCATTTTATAGCAGCAAATCTAGAGTTTTTGAGAGAAAAACGTTTGCTTGTTGGGTAAAGATACAATGATGTTAAAGATTTAGATGATATTGGACAATAATGTTAAACCACTACACTTGTCCCCATTTTTGTTTGGCAGACTCGCACATAAACCACACTACTTGTTATGAATCTTGCAATGAGATATTTTGAATTATATGATTCAAGAGATAACTCTAAAGACACATGTATATACTCAACATTTGATTCAAGATGTCTAACCAAAGAGCATTTTGAATTGCGACGTAATCAAGCAGTCACGAGTCAAGTTCCTCCAAGTGGAATAATTTTATCTGTGAAAATGAATTTGGAAATCGATTTATTCATTAAAGTGTGGTGTGGTATGAGAAAAAACGGAGGGTAAAATAAAATAGCACGAAAAATACGGGAAGGTGTGCGAAAGGACAATACAGCGTTTTTCCTGAATTTCTCTGATCATCATCACAACTCCAACACGCAGACGATTCTTCTTCTTCTCGAAATCTGAGGACAGAGATAGCATTAATGGTGGCTCTCTGCTCGAGCGATTCTCTCTGAATTACCTCTATTTCCTCTTCCCATCATCCTCTCTCTTTGTCAACGCCTCAGGCCAGCGTCGTAAATTTCAACTCTATTCTCTCTCACCACTAATTCATACGCGTTTTAAAACTTCTTTGCTAAGATTTCAACCATGCTAAATTTCTGATTTAGGGTTTAATCGGATTTTTTTCCAAATCAATAATCATCAATTTCAAAAAAAAAAATATGTTTTTTCTCTTCTAAATTTATCGGGAGAATCGATGCTGATTGATCCATTGATCCAGACAGAGAGTTCGTTGCCTCGTTTCATAAACCCGCGTGAAGCTTTCGTCAGCAAATCATAAAGAGCCGTCTGCTTACACGCAACCTCACCTCTCTCCATATCTTCTCCTCTCATCCAGAGAGTAGTTCGTCCATCGAAATCCCACAACTTGCTTCCTGTAAGCATCTTCGTCTCTCTCTCTCTCTCTCTCTCTCTCTCTCCATATATATTGTGGTTTTTTTTGTTTCAGTAGTAAACGGTTTTTCAGTAGAATGATTTAGGGTAAGATTAGTTGTCTTCTCTCTTCTCTTTTGGATTCTGTTTCTCGTTTCTGTGGTTTATAACTTCACTGTCTTCTGTTTTATATGGTTCGCTTGTGCTTGAGATCATCTGCTTAGCTTTTAGGCTGAATCATTACTCTCTTTAGCTTCACCTCTTTCCCTTATCTTTCGATTTACAAGATTTATTAAGCTTCGTGGAGTAACCAGTGTCTATGAGTCTTGCGATATATCTACCTGCATTTCTCTTTCCTTAAATGTGATTTATTAACTTGGTATCATCGATTTTGATACAGCGAGGAAGCTTTTTGCTTTTTGTGTCCGTGTCTTTGCGCGTGTCCCATTCTCTTCTCCATAGTTCAGCTCTTGAGTTTCTAAAAAGATGGAGGTCAAGTTATGGAACGATAAGCGTGAGAGAGAGATGTACGAGAATTTCGCTGAGCTGTACGCTATCATCAAAGCTACCGAGAAGCTCGAGAAGGCTTACATCCGTGACCTGATCTCTCCGTCCGAGTACGAAACCGAGTGTCAAAAACTCATTGTCCACTTCAAGACACTCTCCGCAACGCTCAGAGACATGGTCCCAAGCATCGAGAGATTCGCGGAGACGTACAAGATGGACTGCTCGGCTGCGGTTTATCGGCTCGTGACATCCGGTGTTCCAGCTACCGTGGAGCATCGAGCTGCTGCAGTGGCTTCTACATCGAGCTCTGCTTCCGTTGTCGCTGAGTGTGTTCAGAACTTTATCACTTCCATGGATTCTCTCAAGCTCAACATGGTTGCTGTTGATCAGGTGTATCCGCTCTTGTCTGATCTCTCTGCTTCTCTTAACAAGCTAAGCATCTTGCCACCGGATTTCGAAGGGAAGATGAAGATGAAGGAGTGGCTTTTGAGGCTGTCTAAGATGGGAGCTTCTGATGAGCTCACTGAGCAGCAGGCTCGACAACTTCACTTTGACCTTGAGTCGTCTTACAACTCCTTCATGGCTGCTTTGCCTAATGCTGGTAACTAACTAATGTGACGTGTGTTCGGCTACTTTTGTTTAGACTACTTGGCTCTATGACAATGATTTTGCTTTAAGACGATTTGCTACATTCCAGTGATGAATGTTGTAGACAAAACAAGCCTTTCTTTTGCTGTGTAAAGATCATGCCAAGCCTGAAAATTGTTTTTTTATGAAGTGTTATGAATCTAAGCTCTACTTTGATTACTCGTGGCTTTATGTTGTTGATTTGGTGGCTTTGATTTCAAGACAATTTGTACATTCCAGAGATGGATGTTCGTAGCTAAAATTTGTTAATTTTTTTTACGAAATGGAAGAATCTATGATCTGTTTCTGTTGACAAATCAAAACACCAATTATAAAAGACCTAGAACGGGATATTAAATTACCCTTTTTCATTAGCTGCGAGTTCACAAAAGTAACGAGCTTTCATCAGTAAGTATAATTATTATTAACTGCCCTTTATCTACAATATGCGCAAAGCCTGTGGGGTTAACGAGGTAATTACTAGAAGCTTTCTGGTTTCTGCCATCATAATCTATTCACCTTGCAGCAAATACGAGTCTGCAAAATCTACATGGAGCTTGTGGTGGTGTCTGCAGCTTCTGTGTTTGTCTAGGGTTTTCCTTCATCTTCCTTTTCAATTTGGCTATGGGCACTTGATGAGCTTGGTGGCTTGAAGCTAGTGTCATCATGATGCAGAGACTTGTTGTTGATAGTTGTGTGAGAACGAGGCAGAGACTCTTCGTCTTTCTCTGGTTGGAAATTCAAATCTATTTGGGGTTTCAAAGGCGAACCATGATGCTCATGGCTCTTACTGGTGTCTCCACTGTTGTTATCAGACTGGTGAAGTTCCTCGTCAGAGTTCAGTGACTCCAGCTCCTTGAGTGCTTTGTTTCCTTTCTCTATTTGCTTCTTCTTCTTCTTCCCTAGCAACAGAGAACATATACGGCGTTTTACCGTATCGCAGACAGTGCAGGAACAGCATTTGTCGTGTTTGGGACTTTTCCCACTTGGGGATTGTATGCAAACGATGCAAGTGCAGCCGTTTCTGTGCCGTGGGTGCTTTGTCGTTGCTTTGGGTGACATCGAGAGTCCTTCAGTTTCATCCTCCATGGCTTCCTCATCATGCTCTTCAGCTAAGTGTCTTTTATTACAAGAGCATGTTGAACTGAAACTAGACACAAATTCAAAGAAAACAACAATCAATAGAAATTCAACAAGCTTCAAAATGCTATTTACTTGTATCTAATGCTACGAGATACTTTTCGATATCTGGCAACATGCAGAATGCTTTTTGACCATGAATAGTACCAGTATACGTAATCTGAATCCTACCAGCATCAACTAAGATATGGGTTATTGAGAATTAGACAATTTATTGAGAATTAGACAATTTACCCTGTAGTTGGCTTCCCAATGACTGGAGCATCCTATTTTGACACAATAAATACACAAAGAACATTTAAGTGAGTGATATGTTCCAAAAGAAAGTAAAGATAGAGAAACGGCTGTTCATAACAGAGAAGCTAAGATGGCAAATCAAAGGGGGAGACTAATCAACTTAGGTGTTCAAACCAACTGCGTAGCTTCGTCTTTCTTAATTATTGAATTCAAATGGATAACTGTTTACTGTTAACTAAAAGCTACTGCATAATCAAAAAGAAAGGAAAACATAGAGAAATAAGATTGATTCTATAACGACATTGACCACAAACGCAAATTGGAAAAGCAGAAATCATATGGATGTACCTCATATTCCTCAAACTCAAAGCCCTCTATCTTCATTATAGACGGAGTAACATTAGGAGGAGGCAAGATAAATCCTTGAGCTTCTTCCCATGTTAGCTTCAGCTCATCGTGGTCTCCCTTTTCAACTTTTTGACGCTTGCTTCTTGTAATCATCATGCTGCTTATATTCTTCCCGGAAGCAAATTCTACTCCTGAAGTTTCTTTAGCTGTATAAGCGGATTTCTTCATTTTAGACGGTGAATGCATATCAACCGGTTCAGCCTGCTATTGGAAATGCAGAAGAGACGTAACACTATGTTTCCTCACGCAAGCTAACTTGTCAAGAAAAGGTGGCAATTTGGATTTTGAACACTTACATCTCTGTTTGTGCAACTGTCACGATTGTTATACGTTGAGTCAGTTTCCTGGAAAGACACAAATAATAAATCCTATCACTCAGAAAAGTACTAACAAACAAAAGCCATCTAGTTAATTTAGATAGTAACCTGATCAGACGATTGAGCAACCGAAGCCTTTCTGAATCCCATGATTAACTTCCCTTCTGGATCTACTCGACTAAATATGACTAAAAAGATAATGGAATTCAGTTCTCCCAGCATAAGTTCTCCGCATTGAACAGATGAAATTGTGAACATTAAATGCAACCACATAAAACATATTTGAAGCTTTAGCTACATGATAAACCAAATTACTATATCACCAACGACATACCTGTATCACCAGCCTGCAGCTGCAAGCTCTGTAGGCATGGAGTTACTCCCTCTAGAACATAGATTCTGCTATGGTTGTTGGGCCAAAAGCGAAACTGAAATGTCCAGTCTTTACCCATTGAGTCCTGTACTTTGAGAGGTACACCTTCAGTGTGGAAAATTTGGGGCAAGAAATTCTGTTTCATAACACACGCCTGTTAGCATCTTTTATTTACATATGAGACAACTGTAAAGTTAACAGATGTTATGACTACTATATTCATGATACAAAAGCGGTTAGGTTTTTGATATAAGCACCATACAGTCATATCCCCAATTATTTCCACATGAATCACCTGTTTATACAAAAAAACAAGAAATCGTAATTGCATATGCAAATAGTTATTTACCTCTGCACACTTCTTTGGCAGCACTAGTCGCCCAACTCGTCCAGTATCACTTGCACTCAGCCTCTTCTCAAAGAGAGGAGTGACAACGGATTCAGATCTTGCTCATCGTTAAGGTTTTGGTAATTTAAATGTGGGCAACTTTTGTTAGTTTTACATGTCATTAACCTAAGCGGCCAAGTATCCTAGCAGAAAAGTAAGACCTATCTATAAAACCATTTATCTGAAACGCTTACATCCACCCTATTCTACAACCTAGCATAGAGTTATTCACATCAAGCGATAGAAAGAAAACAAAAAGCAAGAGGACTAGGACTCTGAAGTATGGGAACTGGGAAGGAAAGCATACTTTTAATATGCTTATGGTGAGTATACAAAGTTATATTCCCGAGAAAGGATACTCTTTGGAGAGATACTGCAGAACTCTATCTTCATATGAAACCTTAGGCCAATATCGTGGAACCACCTGATATTTTCCTGAAGTATCAAGATGGGTCCTCACGTCCCGACTCTTGCTTTTGAATAGCGAGTCTGCTCTACAATTCAAGTCATTGTATAAGCAACTCAGTGGAGAAGAATTAGGTGTATGCCATGAATTACTTCCATCTAGTCTCAAGTGACCATTTTTCTCAATTGGTGTTGTAAGTGGCACAGGAAAAGCAAGCTGTACCCCACATGGACCCTCCTTCAATGAGATCAGTGGATGATACAAATTACAGTTGGGTCCTGCAATTGAAGATTTACTTTAAAGAAGCTTGCTTTGACTAATAATTAAAAATCCTCTCAACCTGAAAACAGGAAGGAGATTGTCACAGAAGTAATACGACAAGCTTCTTATAAAAGATCATGAACCTGCATTCCGATAATTAAGTATGTCGCTTGTGTGACTATTTGAGCTTTCACTCATTAATTTCCCCATCAAGTGATTCATTCCCCTTGTTTTCTCCACGGAACATGCAGTGGCCCTTTCTTTAGTAGTAGGTTGTCCAAATTCATAACTATCTCCACGATTATGAATATCAAACTGCAGACCCGAAGGACCTACGAAACTAGGAGGCCGGCAGCTTATCTGATTTGACCCGGTTGAAGAATTCCAATTGATCGACAAGTCCCTGAATTTTTCAGCAATGGGAGATTGGAAGAAAACCGATGGTGGTGGCGAAAAATTGGGTCCCTGACACACATGAAATACAGACTGTTATAGCACATGAACTTCAGCTCAAGATAGATCTTAAACTTGAAAAGTATCTTTGTACATTAAAAGTTTGTTTGCTAGCGTAAGATATATGATTCGTAAGAGTTGATGAACAGCGTGAACCATTATTGATTTTTTGGTAATATCATGCCTCCCAGATAAATAAATGGGTAGAATTCTATAATAGGAAATGAAAAGTGAATTCCTTTCTTACCAAAGAAACTTTTTTTCTTGCGCACGCCAGGCACTCAATTCCTCCAGCATTCAACAATGTAAAAGCAGATGCAGAAACAATACAACCACAATGAATTCGCTGCACAGAATGCTAATAGTGAGAGACTTCATATCTGGAAACCCCCATCAGGATTTCGTGATACCAACCATACTTCAAACAAAATTAAACCACGTCTTTACCTTCCCACATGACTCACAGCATCTCCATCCGGAAGCCTTTAGGTGAAAGATGTCACAAAACTTTCCTTGTTCATAAGCAGAGCTGAAACCAGATAACAGTGATTTATAAATTTGGAAAATTGATAATACAATAATGAGTAAACGAAATTGATGTAGTGAGTTCGTAAAAGAATTGTGTCTGCAGTATACTGAAATCAGAAAATGAAAACCCCCCCTCTTGTGTCGGTTAATGCATAATGCAATTATAACTACTTTCAAACTTTAACTAGTCTTTTTCTTCTTATGCAGGTGATACAGTCTGATATGGATTACGTTTTACAACAGAAACATAAGTCTCTAGAAACTATATAGTCTCCACGCATCCATAGTATGGAAATAAAACTCCAAGGGCTCATCAAATTGGTAAATATCATCGAAGGGCCATCAATATCATCAAATTGAATAAATGCTTTCCCATATAAACCTATCAAACACAGAACATTACCAGATAGTAAGAGCAAAAATTTCGTTTCCTAGTTGTACTTCCATGAAGGTGACCTTTGTCTATACATAGAACATTACCTTACCCAATATATTATTTCACAAAAACGCCACTTATAACGCCTCAGAAACACACAAAGTTAAGCCTAAGAAACCCATCACGTATAATATAAAGAAATTATAAAACCCACTAGTGGACAAATTCTCTATATCCTATTCCTGGTGGTGATCACTGATTAGAATACAATGTAGCTTCCTATTTGTTTAATTTCTATGTCCCTTAGTTTTACTTCTTCTATCTCTTTCCTGTCGCTGGACTTTGAACCTCTAGACTCTCTCTACTTAGTACACAGCATCGATGCCACATAAATAAATTAGTCCACACTTCCATTTGAAACCACAATGTTCTAAATTTTGTACTAGCATCTCTAATTCAACAGCATAAAACTATTCCGATCAACATTACAGAAATAGCTCAAAAGATCGGCTCCTAATCTCTCGGATTGTAGCTAACACATACGGATCCTATTCACGAAACAATAACAAAAAAAACTTCGAAATTACTGTTTCAAAAAATTTCACCAGCGAGAAGAGACAAGCTACCACAGATTACTAACATAAACCCAGATTACAGAAGGAAAAAAAAAACAAACAAAAAGCGTTCCACCTGATCTTCAAAATCGAAAACAAGCACTAAAAAAAAAAACGAACAGATCGCTGAGAAAAAAAAAACACGGAGTAAGGTAAGCGAAGAAGGAAGCAAAGGAACGGGTTGCTTACGCGCAACGATGGCAGAGGTCGGCGAAATCGCCAGTTTGGAGACGCCAACCAGGTCGGTAATGCTTGAGGTTGAACTCGGTACATTCGCGGTTGAAGCAAAATCTAGAGGATAAGGAAGACGACGACATGGAGGAGGAAGAGGAAGGAAAAAACCCTAGAAAAGCTTAAATTGATGACGGAGAGAAAAAAAGAAAAAAAAATGGTGAAAGCGAGGAAGAGAAGAAAGAAGAAAGTAGAGAAATAGTGAAGTGGTGGGTATTTGTTGTTTGCCTGATCAGCTAAAAAAAAAAAATACTCTCAGAGGTTTTACGGAAAAAGAAAGCTATTATGACTCCTTTCACATTTTCTCTTATTTCTTTTTTCCACCTTTTCTATGCTTTTTTATTCAATTTATACGCCAAGTCATCATGAGTTTGGTAGGTCCAAAACTAAATTCCAAGGACCATAGGATATTATTTTATAAACATGATATGTCGCATCATTTTATATCTGTTTGCTGTGGATGGAATCTCTAACTTTTAGTCATAGGCCAGTTGACAAAAAATAATAAATCTTCATATACTCCAACAGTATTGTCAAAAAGCTTTATGCTTTGTTTAAGATCACTTGTTTGTTATGATTGTAAGTTTATAACATATGGATTACTTTACATATTAAAGTTTTGTAATGTTTCACCGAAATGCAGATACTATGTATGACCAAATAAGAGATTACACAAATAATGAAAAACTCGTATATTTATGGTCTTATATAACTACCACAAGTCAACTTTCAACATTTGTCACTACACTGCGATACAAAAACATACATAGTTTACACTTGAATGATACAATAAAATTCAGAATAAGAATCGTAGGACCGACTAAATTATAAGATACAAATCATCTCTTTGCTTTTTAGTTGATGTACTGTACATGTCCATCAATCAAATTATCGGCTTATCGCCACAAGGGAAGCAACATTTGAGTGCGTCTTCATCTCATCTCATGTGTGACATTTTATCAACTAAGAATCATTCAGGAGAGAAGAGAGTAGCTAAACCTTGATCAACTGTTATTTGAAGCTTGTCATAAGACATCAAACCCTTCTGATCACATTTATATGATCTTCTTCCTCTTGCCAACACCTCTCCGTCTGAATCTATGATTCCTTCCTTGTCTGGTTCATCTATCCGTGCACCCGGTTCCAACACGAATGCCTTCACCTTTTTTTTTAAAGTAAAAAATCACGGGGAAAGCTTTTAGTCAAATCACGAAGTGCAAATCCACAAGGGACACTGGATCCATCAAATGAAAGATTACAAGTATACGAATGGATTCATGGTCTCGGATGACAAACCTTTAGATATGCTACATATGGTGATTGAACATGTGTTCCATCACTCAACTTTGTCATAAGTGATAGCAAGGCAAGCTTCGGGCAATCTTTCATGACAATCAAATCCAAGTAGCCATCACAAAACTGTTCATCAGACCATATACGTAGTAAGCTTTAACAGTTTTTTTCGCAAGTAAACAACCCTATCAAGGCGTCTTGCTCGTGCACCGCAAAAAGAAGATCTAAGACTAATGTTTTCCTGGTTTAATAATGATAGAAAATGTGTAACAGACCTTTGCGTTAGGAGCAGCCAGAGTGTTTTCAGCACCCCAGGGTACATTATGCAGCCATACTGAAACAAAAGGGCCTTTGATTTCTCTCCATTCCAGATCTTCAAGTTTGGTGTCAGGTCCTTGGTATCCGAGTGCCTTATCGCTGACAGATGACTCTTTGTCTACACCACTGCAAGTAACTGGTTGCCCATTGCTTTCAAACCCAGGAGCTGGCACAAATCGAATCCGTCCATTGTATTGTCTTAAGCATATTATCCTCTGAAGACCCTGCAAAATACAAGGCGTAGAAGAGACAACACAAAATCCCTTTAATGGATAGATTTGAATAAACTAAAGACACACTTTAACACCTGCAATGCAAAAGATTTGACAATTTTTTCAACTAAACGTACATAGACATCAAAGCGAGCACTGCCCATCCATCTGAACTTTTCTGACTCGATGTCTATATCAGCCACTAAACCTGAAATAAAATCTCGAAATGATCTCAATTTCAAAACCAACAGTATAATTCACCAAGCTCAGGCACTAGTGTCATTTGCAAATACATTTCGGAAGTCACTTGCATACCCCAAGCAAGCATCAAGACGCTGAAGAATTTGGTAGTCCCTTGTGAGATAGTTGCAACATCTAAAGAACGTGTATGACCTGACAATACAAAAATATGTTGTCAGTCACATGATGACAAAAAAAAAAAGAAAACGTTTTTGTAAGATCAGAGTATTGTATGGAATGGAGAAAGACCTCGGATAATGGAAACAGTAGCACTTGTTGCACTACAAGGAAGCCCAGCCGGTTCCAACAATGATTTTATCATACCGTTACCACTTCCTGCAATCAAGAATTTTGCACATGAAGTAACCACAAAGTATAAGATTTTGCTAAAAGATTCTGATGCACAAGAATATCAAATTTCACATGGAACACACAAGACACGAAACAAATGATGAAAGCAGAGCGAACCTGCAGGGACCATTCCGATAGGCAAATTTAAGGCAGTTCTCCAGTCTGCTCTTTCGAGCAGTCCATTTACAACCTACTAAATTAGGAACTACTTGAAAGAATCAGCAACAATAAATACTTGTCTAATCCCAAAGGCAACCATTACTAAAACAGTAAACATAAATAATTAAAACAAGAGATTGCTTCCTCTAAGAGATACTTCCAAAAGTACTATGTTTTCCTTTCAATGTTCGTTGAAGACACGAATTCTTTAAATTCATCTCATGTGAGAATAGCACAATTGACACGCATAATCACAATTCCAATTTCTAAGTTATCCAACTAAAATTGACACTTAGAAAATGATATTTCCGCAAAAGAAGAGCTTTCTACTTACCTCAACAAGGACACCGTCGCCGCTAACACAAACAATCCCATCGTATATCGATACATCTATGGACCTAACAATTTCCTTTGCATGCAACTGATACTTGGTTTCTGGAAAATCATCACCATCATCATTGATCCGACTGTTAATTTCCCGGAGAAGAGTTTTTTCAAATCCGGAAGAAACAAAAAAAGAAATCAGGAACCTTGAATCTCGAGTCGAATATCAGCATCTTCGAACAATGGCTTCACTTCCTCTAGAAAAATCTTTCTCGCTGATTTCTTCCCGCCAAATGGGTTCACAAACACAAGCAATTTCTTTGGCCGACCTAAATTTTGATTAGGAATTTACCAATTTATTATCGAAATTTAAGAAAATGCATCGATATGATTTCGAGTTTTAGCTCCGTGATATCACCCCAAGTTTTTCGATAATCCACACTAACCGAGAGATTCGAGATGTTGATGGAGCTTATCGCACCACAGCTTCCTAGATTCATCAGAGAGAGGCTCGAAAACGAAATTTTTCCTGGCGTAATCTCCAGCAGTTTCCCCGCAGCAGATTCCTCCCCCTTTCTCCACCAAGATCTTTACTCTAACCTTGTTACCTTCCACGACGAAACCCAGGATGTCTTTTCCCACCGACGATTTCCGCCGTCCAGATTCCGTCCACCGTAGCTCTCCGTCGGCAGTCAGGGTTAACGGCGTGACAACACCGTTTACCAGAACTCGGTCGGAAATTATCGCCGGAGACGACAGCTGATCATTCTCCGGCTGACGATCCATAGAAAGGGAGAGAGAGATAGAGGAAATACTTCGTTGGTGAGACTGCGAAAGCTAATGATCGATTTTTTTTTGTTTAAAGAATTGACCTGAAGACTTTTGCGATCAGGTAGAAAGTGAACACCACGCGCCAAACCCGGCGAGTGTTTGAGATGATGTCGCATTAATCTTTTCTTTAATTATGATGACTTGTGAGATTTCTTTAGTACTACAGAAAAGATTAATGTAACATTGTACAAACCTGTAAACGGATCTTTTTTTTTTTTTCCTCATTTCCTATAATGTAAACGTATACATGTAGATGAACCAAATTACACCCACAAAGGAACAACAGCATTTACAAAAACAGATCAATCAGGGTTTATATGAATTATGATGTGAATGTGTCATTCATCTCATGTGTGGTGTGTAACATAATCAATTTTGAGGAGAGAAGAGAGTAGCTAAACCTTGATCAACTGTTATTTGAATCTTGTCATAAGACATCAAACCCTTCTGATCACAGTTATATGTTCCTTTTCCTCTTGCCAAAACCTCACCGTCTGAATCTATGATTCCTTCCTTGTCTGGTTCGTCTATGCGTGTACCCGGATCCAGCACGAATGCCTTCACCTTTTTTGAAAGTAAAACATCAGAAAATGCAGATTCACAAATGAAAGATTACAACTTATATATGGTTTCAGGTGACAAACCTTTAGATATACTACATATGGTGACTGAACATGTGTTCCATCACTCAACTGTCTCAAAAGTGATAGCAGGACAAGCTTAGGGCAGTTTCTCACCACAATCAAGTCCAGTAAGCCATCAGAAAACTGTTCATCATCAGATCATAGACGAAAGAAGCTTCGGCTTTTTTATTGTTCTTGCAAGTAAACAATCCTACAAAAGAAGATCCAACGCTAGAAATGTAATAACTGACCTTTGCATCAGGAGCAGCCAAACTGCTTTCAGCACCCCATGGAACATTATGAAGCCATACAGAGACAAAAGGGCCTTTGATTTCTCTCCATTCAAGATGTTCAAGTTTGGTTTCAGGTCCTTGGTATCCGAGCGCCTGACCGCTAACAGGCGGCTCTTTGTATAGACTGCTAATGGCTGGATCCCCATAGCTTTCAAATCCAGGAGCTGGTAGAAACAAAACTCGTCCGTTGTATTGTCTTAAACACATTATCCTCTGAAGAGCCTGCAAACACAAGCCGTTGAGTAGAAACATGAAGAGATTCCATTTTAGTTCCACAAGACAACATCCAATGAGAATCATACAGTCTACTCGCAAGAAATTTCAAATTTTATCAGCAAAACGTACATAGAAGTCAATGCGAGCACTTCCCATCCATCTGAACTTCTCTGACTCGATGTCGATATCAGCCACTAAACCTGAAGTATATTGGATTTCAGTACAAGAAACAGTATAGTTTCAGGCATTAGTTTCATTTTCAAATAAACTTGTGAGTAACTTAGAACCCTTGCATACCCCAAGCAAGCATCAAGACACTGAAGAATCTTGTAGTCCCTTGTGAGATAGTGGCCACGTCTACAGAACGCTTATGACCTGCCAATACAAGAAATATTGTAACATAGTATGCTTATTTACTGAGGAAACAGAAAACGTTTTTGAAGGATTTGTTTATGGAATGGAGAAAAGGACCTCGGATAATAGAAATCGTAGCACTTGTTGCACAGCATCGAAGCCCAACAGAGTCTAACAATGACTTTATCATGCCATTACCAGTTCCTGCCGTGAAGGAATTTTAGTACCCATAAAGACTTGGCTAAAAGTTTCTTATGCAGAGTCAAAAACGGTAACTTTTGATGTCACATCTAAACTTTCACATGGAAGAAGGAACACACGGCACAAGAGAAGGACGAAGCAGATTAAACGGAAATTACAATTTTAAAAGAAGGTATTAATGATTCATGTCATGTCATGTAGAGCACAACAAACCTGCAGGGACCATTCCGATAGGCAAATTTAAGGCCTTTCTCCAGTCTTCTCTTTCGAGCAGTCCATTTACAACCTACTAAATTAGGAAACCAATTGAAAGAATCAAAAACAGGAAAGTATTATAATCTCTATATAAAAAAGTTATCTAATGAAATTGACATATAAGAAAAATGATACAATATCCACAACATATAAAAAGCATACCTCAACAAGAATACCGTCGCCGCTGACACAAACAATACCGTCGTACTTTGATACATCCATGGACCTAACAAATCCCTTTGCATGCAACTGATACTTGGTTTCTGAACAAACCCATCATCACTAAATTTAATCCGATTGGTAAAAGAATTTCTAAATCATGAAGAAGAAACACAAAGAGAAATGTGGAAACCTTGAACATCAAGTTGAATGTCAGCATCATCAAGCAACGGTTTTACTTCGTTGAGAAAAATCTTTCTAGCCGATTTCTTCCCGCCAAATGGGTTCACAAACACAAGCAATCTCTTGGGCCGACCTAATTCACCAATTATAGTGAGATTTATCTCTCCGTGATACCCAAGTTTTCGAATTTTGTTCTTTCACTTGTTTTTTAAACCCAAACCGGGAAAAAAAAAAGAGAAAATCGACTGACTAACCGAGAGAGTCGAGATATCGACGGAGGCTGAAGCACCATCGATCTCTAGCATCTTCAGAGAGAGGCTCGAAGACGAAATCCTTCCTTGTGAAATCTCCATAGGATTCTCCGCAGCAGATTCCTCCTCCACCTCTCTCCACCACTGCCTTTACCCGAATATCCTTACCTTCCACGGCGAAACCCAGAACGTCCTTCTTCAACACCAAGTTCCGGCGGCCGCCGTATTCATTCGACTGTAAAACTCCGTCGGCAGTCAAAGTCACCATCGCGAATTCACCGTCAACGAAAACAAGGTCGATTAGTATTACCGCCGGTTGATTATTCTCCGGCTGATGATGATGATCCATAACAAACAGCTTCCGTGATTGAGAAGAGAGAGAGAGAGAGATTCGTTGTTTACTTTGTTCGCTTCGCAGTTGAGCTAAGAACAAAGAATTTGATTGACCTGAGAGAAACTGACTTTATGGCACTTTGTCTGATCAGATAGGAAGTGAAACTAACGCGCTCGTTTTGGCGACTGTGCGAGATGACGTGGCATAACGCTCTTTAATTATGATTTAGACTTTGGAAAAGAAAAATTTAATAATAATACAAATTTGTGGACGAGTCGTGACTGATAAAACGTCACCTTTTTCAGTAATTTTAAGACTTTCCGATAACTTGAATGAATCTACAGAAGCCAAGCCCATTGGAGGGGGTTTACTTGTCCTCAGATGCATCTTCTTCGTCTTCATCTTCTTCCAATATATACACCAGAGCACGTCTTCTTTCAGCAAAAACGCAAGCCACTCCTCTTGAAGCTGTATATAGAATTTAAGATAGTTAAGCAAATGATTCCCTTGATCTTGAAAAGCATTTTCCGTTTCAAGGTGTAGCTAGAGGAATATCATCTGAGTAAAGTTCTCTGTTTGCTTCTCAATCTTAATATCTAGACCTAGTGAGAGTACTCAGGAAAACTCTTGTCCTTTAAATTTTGCAGTAACTTTCATGATTCCAGACTCAGAATCTCAAGATGGAAATGGAATATGAATTGAGAAAATGGGAACTTACAGCTCACTGCTAGAGGAGCAATGGTGGAATGTGGAACTTTGCGAACCTTTTCATTCTCCATTTCCAGGTAAACAATGGAGCCCTGCAGGAAAAGATAATTTGTGAGAGTTTATAGTAAATAAGATTGTTTAAAGATTGATACGTTCCTAGATCAGAGATCAGTAGATTTGGACAAAAATGCCGATGAGAATGGTTAAAACCAACACTACCTTCAAATCCTCTAGCTCCCATTGATTCAGACAACTAGATCTGGAAATAGAAATGAATGTAAGGTCACCAGTTTGTACAACCATCATGCAGGCTTCTCCTGAGTCTTCGGTACTTTCACTTGATTTGTTCAATAATAACACAAGTTCTTTATCCTGTTTCAGCATTAAACAGGGTTACAGGGAAACTAGAGAGAGAGACACAGACACACACACACACATCAGGTAACTAGAAGAAAAATGAGTATTCACCTTGTAGAGAGATAAATCAACACATTGGTAGCCATTAGGTACAGATAACAAAACAGCTTCCAGGGAAGTATAACCATTTTTCTCGTTGTTGGAGTGTTGCTTAGAACCCTTCGCTATGCCAATACAGTTCTGAATATCTGGGAAAGCTTCGTCGGGGACTTGGAAAGATATGTAATCAGTGTACCCACTTTCACTAGCTGTATCAGCAGAAACTTCATTCTGTACGAACAAATGAAGATTTTAGTATATCAAAAGAACTGTTTTAGCAACAACACGCATAAATCTTTTCCTAAGCATCTCCTATGGGATTATACTAATGTACGTTAAGATCGATGCTGCAAAATACCTTATAAAAGGAAAGAGACATGGGAATGGTAGTACGCGTTTGCGTTGTTGACAATTGAAGAGGGCAAAGCGGCAACAACTTCATGCATGATATCTTCTTTGATATGGTTGTAAAGGGCATTTGAAGAGCCATCTTCAAGCTAAAATTGTTAAAGCATAAAAAATCAAATTTTGATGTCTAGTCACTGAAAGAAAGCCATAAGAAAGTATGACCAGACTCTAAAAGCTCAGCATATTTTGTTTTGAAGATAAAAACTCCCAAAACATATATTATGGTTGTTCAGCAATAATACTTTTAACAATTTAAAGGCTATAGAATCTGTACCATAGCCCTTTACACATATCAATTTACTAATGCTGTGCGTCATGAAAAATCATGTTCAGTAAGTGAGTTGTTTGAATAAGAGGAAAAACGTCAAGGAAAAAATACCTAGACTCCATGTGTTGGAATTCCTTAGTTAATGTTCTGCGCAGAAAATCAGAGTCTGTAAACCCTCCAAACTGCATTAACTCTTTGACTCTTTCAATGGTTTTCCTGGGACATGAAAAAACCATAAAAAGTGTATAAGAATTGGAGGATTCAATGGACTTCATGCCTCATCCGTTTCTATGATATGCTGATTTGTGGTCATTTATTAGTCATGTATGCTGAAACTTCTCAAACACACGTGGAAGCACACAAACGCATACACATTTCCAATATCTGAGAATTTCTGATCGACTAAAAGATATTACGCCAAAAAGGTAGGTAAAAGCGGCGATAGAGAAAAGAGGTAACCTACAGATCAATTTCAATGTCATCATCAGCTTCAGATACATCCACGAGGTCTTTCACCGGATCTTGATCATATAGGAACTTCAAGAATACCACAAGGAGTTCACTGCCACGGAAGCAAACCATGTAACTACAAAGTTTTGTCTTTCAACGCCATAAACAACATAGAAACACACGTGCATACCTGTCGTATGACATAAGCTGATCATTTGGTTCTTGCATAAGATACTTTATGCTTTTGAGGAGCCAGTTGAAGAAATTCGAGAACTGAAACAAAGAAGACCATAATTTTACTGAAATGAACATTGGGTGGGAAACATGGGACAAACATTATTCTGAGTAACTACGATTTTCATTGTCTAAACGGCTGCACGCATCTGTACCTGTTGGACAACAGTAGATAGTACCATCATAAACCGTTGCACTTGTACAAGTAGGAGACCGGCATTTTCAGTTGCTTCATTAAGGAGTTTCTCATCCAAACCAATGCCTTGGTACCGTGCACGCCACCTCGAGAGACCTCTTAATTCACCCATTCTGAATCCAATAATTTCTGCTGCAGGCTGGGAAAGAAAGCCTATTCGTGACAAAACTCTATCTAAAGATTATTTGCAAGGTAAGCAAACGTTGCTTAGACTAACAACAGAAATATTCTTTTGCAGGAGTGTGAAGAACACTAAACCTGAAGATGGTCAAGGACAACCAGCTGAAGGTCTTTTCCTGTACCACATACTGACTTTAAGACGCGCTTCACACCCTACTAGACAAGATAACTACTTAGTCGACTGTGATAAAACTAGTACCCTGAAGATGATCAAGCAAATGGAGCTTACCACTTCACCAAGAGAGTTAACTAGAAACTGATTTAGAGCTGGACTTATTCGTGCACCACCCAAAAGGCTAAGAAATTCTTCTTGAGGAGATGATTCCAGTCCTAAGAGAAAAGCAACTCAGCCCTGTGAATCTATGAGCCAATGATAAAACCTCAACTAACAAGCGGATAGTGGCGAATACCATTATCTATGATCAAGGTGGAAAGAGACTGAAACTTGTCGTGAAAAGTTTTCATGGCATCCGCCCATTGTTTTCTCATAACTGATAGGGATTCTCGAATAACCTCAGTCAAATCTTCAATGTTGGAAGCTTGTTGAGCAACCTGATGAAGCTCATATTTCCTAAAATAAAATTTAATGACAGAGCGTAAATGACAAATGCAAGGCAGACAAACAACCAAAAATATGTGTCGTTTGCTAACGTTTTTGTATTGATTTCCATATTTATAACAATAAGGAAGGAAAGAAAGAAAGAAGCAGTAGCGGAATATAGATATAAGATCTCATTGTTTCTGCAAAGTTACCTCTTCCAAAATATAGACGTGTCCATTGCAAGGCAATGTAAACCATTCAGATCTCGGACACTAAGTTTTTCCTCTCCTGGCTCACTATCACAATCCCTAAGCTCTCCTGTGCACATTACAACCAGGCGACAGAGATCCTTCGACAAAGCAACCTAAGAAATGCAATTAACAATAATTAGTTTGAATCTAAAGACTCTTGATCGCTCCTTTCTTTGTTTCCCCCAAAAGACATGAAAATTGAAGAAATGGCATTTATATCATTTGTAAAGCATGGCTCTTGAAAGGATCCAAGTACCTTGTAAATGGTAGCATTAAATAGTTTGCAAGAGGCATGCTCATCCAGATGGGGCACAGGAACAGACAGCTCGTGTATGTTCTGATCATGGTTTTGCATGATAGCAGCGCAAACACATGAAACGAGAGAAAGTAAGACTTAGACTGAAAATAAAACAAGAGGATATTGCTTGTAGCTAGAAATTAATATAAAAATGAATCTTACAATTTGTTAAACTATATCACTCACATCAATACTGTAAGAAAATATGTAACAAATCTACATATGCAAACAGTGTTGAAAATTCATCAAGCATCCTGAATCTCTATATGCAAAGCATGATACATCAATGGCTTACTAGTTACTTGATGAGAAAAGAGCGACTTACAATCTTCCCTATCTGATATATTCCAAATATATTAAAGCATATGCTCCCATCTCGATCTCCACTGCAGAGAACGTTAAACTTCCGGAATGAGGTATTAGATAGTTCTGCTAGAGAATCTTCACCATCATCCATGAAACTGGAGTCACCAGCTACCACTCCAGGCATCTTTGGAGCTCTTGGAGCAGGAGGGAAGAAACGGGAGGTACGGTCCTCATAAACTGAGACTTTCCCAATTTCATCCTGAAAACCAAAATCTAAGAGTAAGCACAAGCTCAAAAAAACTATATGCTGCAACTGTGATTAGTAAAAGATACTTGTACAACTAATCAGAGGAGAAATCCTACGGTATTGGATTGTCCATCCTCCTCCCAGTTAAGACACACGACAGCTACAGCATGAGGCTTCAAGCTCCTTAATAGCTTCCCATTCTGCATGATGAAAAGAGAGAGTATCAACCACTTTCTGATAAGCATTATCTTCATCATTCAAAACATGGATTAGCTTTCAATCTAAACTTTACCTCAACATCGTGAAGTGCAATGGTTCCATCCTCGAGCCCAACAGCTATGGCTTTACCATCAGGACGCCAGCATAAAGAAGTAACAGGCCTTCCTATAAGCCAAAATAAAGGGAGAATTAGTACCAACACTATCTGAATAACTCAGTAATCCTTCTACTACTGACAAGCTACTTCAAAAATTGTATTTCACTTTCAGTTTCAGCATATAGTCTAAGAGCCAGAAACGAATGTTTATCGAGCTGAAAGTTATATAATGCAGAATCAAGAAAACCATCTTGTATTCGAAAATCGTCTACTTTAATCCAACAAAGTGAAGAAAGAGATGTTAACCTGGAGAAATAGTCCATAATCTCTGCCAATTGAAACGGTGCAGCAAAATCTTTGAGTCCTCCGTAACCATTGCCAGTAAATCCTTCTCCGGGTTCCACTCAGCTATCTTAATCTGAATACATTGAACATCGCAAAAGTGAGCAAAAACATGAATCCATCTAAATTCCCCATAAAGAATGAATCTTCACGAAAATTGAGCTGAAGAGAAACAAAACCTGAAAAGGTATCGGCTTGTCGAACTGGAGCTGGAAAGGAATTACGCTTTCTCCTTCTTCACTCTCCATTTCCGAAAATCCGAGGTTTCACAAAGTAGAAAGGAGCGAGAAGGGAAAGAGTGGAAATGAGGGGTTTTTGGAATTCTCAATTTCTTCAAAAGCTATCGGAACTAAGGAATCAGAGAAAAACACTTGACAATAGTCAAAAACGAGTGAATAACGGTAAACGGAAGGAGAAGACGGCGGTCGCCGGAATCCGCCGAGAGCAGAAAGACGCACAAGTGACACACAACCTGGCGGGACTTTCTTCCAAATTCCAATAAGAATAAGATACCTAATCCGGTTTAATTTCGGTCTGATATAGTGGACCCGGTTCAGGTTTTGGAGAATTTCACTGGGGTTTAGAACAAAAACTAAACCTCTCTGCTACTTTTCCATAAGCTCTGTCGACGACGACGACGACGATGGGTGAAGAAGAAGCAGTAGCAGAAGAAAATGGTGGAGTAAAGGTAGACGACTCAGTAGAGCAAGCTTCATCATGGCCGACCATGAGATTCGATGTCTCTCCTTACAGAACGCACCATTTCTCTAAGCAGTTCAGGACTGCTCGAAACCCTAACAATTTCCTCAAGGGTCTTAAATGGTACCCTTTCTTCTTGCTTCCCTCTCTCTCTCGCTTAGTATTTTCTTCTTTTTCTTAAATTTTGAATTTTTTTCTTCTTTTTCTACTTTATTTTTGAGGTACTGATTTGTTAACTGCTTCTTACAGGTCACCTGATGGTTCGTGTTTCCTTGCAAGCTCCGAGGACAACACACTTAGTCTTTTTTATCTGTAAGGAGAAGACATTCAACTGAAAACTCTTATGTAGCTTAAGAATTAGTAATTTGGGTGGTTTTAATTCCTTTTCGTTTTCCAAATTTGTCCATCAGGCCTCAAGATGGAGGGGATTCTAATAGCTATGGAGTGTCGATCCCTGAAGAGGGTAAGCTTTAAAGTCTAAATTTTGCAGGTTGTGTCAGATGCTATAAATGTGAAGTCTTTTGTGATTCCTGGCGTGTTTATGTTATCCTTTCAAATTTTTGGAACTGTAGATTCGTATGGTGCGAGTCTTCTTGTGAATGAAGGTGAATCTGTTTATGATTTCTGCTGGTATCCATACATGTCAGTTTCAGGTAAAAAATCAAGCTCACCATGAAGGGTTCGTTTCTTTTTATGCTTAATGATTTCATCATTTGAAATGAATTACTGATTTTTTGGCTGTTGACTGATTGGTCCAGACCCATTAACATGCGTCTTTGCTACATCCACTAGAGACCATCCGATCCATCTTTGGGATAGTTCTTCTGGTGAGGTGCTGGTTTTTCCATGAAACTTAACATTTTTACTGGAAATCTATTTCTACCATCAATTTAGTGTGTATCTTGTTATTTACATGTGAATATCACAATGGCAGCTTCGATGCACATACCGGGCGTATGATGCTATGGATGAAATAACTGCTGCGTTCTCAATTGGATTTAATCCTGATGGAACCAAGTAAGCAAGAAAGTTCATCTAAGTTTCATCCATCTTCCCACATGTTAGAGAACTTGATTAACAGCCATCTGTATTCATTTGGCTCTGTTATGTCTCTAGGATATTTGCTGGTTACAACAGCTCCATCAGAGTGTTTGATCTTCATCGTCCCGGTAGAGATTTTGGGCAGTATTCAACTCTACAGAGAAATAAAGAGGGCCAAGCAGGTGTTTTATTTAGTTTACCACTAAGAGCGCTTCGTGATATGTTTGTTTCAGTTTATGCATAAACAAGAACAAATTTTTTAACTGGTTTATAATTTTGCAGGTATATTATCAACTCTTGCCTTCTCCCCAACTAATTCTGGAATGTTGGCTGTGGGATCTTACGGACAGACTACTGGGATTTATAGAGAAGACAACATGGAGCTATTGTATGTCTTACATGGTCAAGAAGGCGGCGTTACACATGTAAGTCATTAGATTCTTGCTTTATTTTTGTGCATTGGGATATGATAAAATCATAAATGGAACTTTTTCTTGCTTTCAGGTCCAGTTTTCAAAGGATGGGAACTATTTATATACAGGAGGTCGCAAGGTATCATGTTGTTTATAGACTTTTTTTCCTCTGAATGTTGTATTGAGCATCTTATATCCCAAATTGATTTCCATGTAAAAAGGGGAAGTAAAGTATCGTCTATATGGAGAATATTAAAGTATGATCTTAAATACGAATCATGTTTGCAGTAGCTTACCAAAAAAAAAAAAAATTTCTTTTGTGTTTGCTCTTTTCAGGATCCTTACATTCTTTGCTGGGATATGCGGAAATCGGTTGAGATAGTTTATAAGTGAGTATTTAGTTTTTTTCATTTGGTTTTGGGTTGTCTTTGGGTTTCTAAGCTTATATAGTTGTCCAAGAATATAATCTAGAAACAGAAACAAGGGCTGGAGAAAATATAAATGCTTAGTGAGCCATGATCAGCAAAAGAAATTAAGGCTACATAAACGTTCAAGTTACTAGAAGTCTTAGCTAGTTGAACTTCAGATTCGATTCTTGCTTTCCAAATATTGAGTTATTTTACTAGTTTTCAGTTACTTTTGAAGTGCAAATGAAATTTGTTGAATGAATCTTCTATGTGTGATCAGATTGTACAGAGCAACAGAGAACACAAACCAGCGTGTATTCTTTGATATTGAGCCATCTGGTCGACATCTTGGCACTGGTGGTGAGGTACTTAAAAGTTGAAAGATTCAAAGCAATCTTTCTTCCTCTATTAACACACTTATGGTTAAATCGCTTAACCATTTTTCTCATTCCTCTTGTCTTTTGTAATCCAGGATGGTCTCGTTCACATGTATGATTTGCAAACCGGAAACTGGGTCTCTGGATATCAAGCTGCTTCAGGTATAGCTTAACACTCTGGTTCTTGGAGTAAATTATCCAGTTTCTTGATGAGATCCTAACTTTTAGTATACTACATTCATTTGATTGATGCAGACACCGTCAATGCTTTTTCTTTCCATCCATACCTTCCAATGGCTGCTACATCCTCTGGTCACAGACGATTCGCAATTCCAGATGATGATGATGAAGAAGATAAGAACGATGTTCAACTGAAAGGTAACATTTGCACTACTACACCCCTTAGCTTCATTACTTCGCCAGTGTTAAAAAGACACAAATCAAATGTTTCTTTTTCTTTTTGTGGCCACACAGCTGATGAAAACTGTGTATCTCTCTGGAGTTTCTACGTTTCATCCGAAGAGAAGAACGCTTGCGATGGAAATGACAATGGCAATGGCGTTGAAGCTTAACATTTTTCTTTTCGTTATGTTCAGAGTTGAAACAATTTGTATTTTACTAGTCTTATCCCAAAAAAAAAGGATGTGGGCATATTCTCTTTTTTGTGCATTTATTAAGAAGAACAAAAATTATAAATTCGCCATACTTATCTCGACATTATTTCAATCAATTAAAATCTTCTGATTTGGGATGGAATCCAATGAAACACAAGTTGAATTTCTCTGTATCAAAACCCACCAAATTCTTCATCTGTCTATTAAATCCAAACCGTTCAAACTTCCAATCAAAGACATGTGTCAACGGTCCCGATTTTCTCTTCCGAATAAACCGCGTTATCTTGTACAATAACCGATACTGAGCGCTTGGATTGATCGAAACACAAAATGCCAATGACGGCTGCCCAATACTCATCCGCCACGTGTCTCCTCACGAACTCGAGCTTATATTCTCAAAATCTCTCAAAAGTTTTACTTTCTCTGCATTTCTGTGTGTTTGTGTTCTTCTTATGTGCTAATGATCCATCATCTCCACTTCATCGGTGAGTTTTGGTTATCAAGCGTCGTAAAAATAGTAGAGTGGGTTTCGGAAACTCTGTTTCTGAAGAATCTTCTCAGTGAAGGAAGCAGACGAAGATCATCAATGGCCTTCGTAATGAAGTCCAAGCGAGACGGTGGATTTCACGGCGAGAGAGAGGAATTAGAGCTAGGGTTAGGGTCGGTGAGGTTCACGCGAGGGTTAGGGAGGAAAAGGATTTTGATTTCAAGCAGAGTCCGCGAATCTCTGTCCAGATCGGCCGTTGAGATTCCGGCAACTGAATCGTCTCCGGTGAAGAGTTCGTTAAAGAGACAGCGAAGCTTAAACATCGTTTCTTCGTCATCCCTCCTTGAATCTCTGCCTCAAGAACTCTTGGTAAATTTTTAGCTTTTGATTAGTTTCTAAATCTGATTCGATTCGATATGATATGATTTTTAAACCAATCTATTTTTTTTTTTTTTTGACAGATTCGCGTGATTTGTGGTGTTGATCATAAGGATCTCAAGAGTCTAAATATTGTATCTAAATCAATCAGAGAAGCTGTAAGTTCCATTTTTCTCTAATCATTTTAAGATTTCTTCTTGCTTATCACAAAGTCTGATTGATTCAGTCTTTCTTATTTGCAATTTTGAACTAAAAAAAAACAGAGTTTGATAGCAAAAAGGTTACATTTTGCGTACACCACACCCAAGAAGACACGAGCAGCTTTCCGAAACCAAATAGATATCGAGGAGAGTTCGGATTCGAGCCATCAAGTGGAAGACACTGAGCCTCCTAACGCACCGGTTCAACGTCGTTGGACCAAGGCTAAGAGGAAAGAGCAACTCTCTAATGTCTCGGTGGCGTTATTTACTTGAAAAATGATGATATAATAGTATGTAGATGGTTTGATTCGAGTGGCTTAAGTGTGTGTTTAAACACTTTTGACTGCTGTTAAATTCTCTTTGACGGTTATAGCTTTTTAAGGTTAGTACTTAGAATGCATTTCGATTTCAGAAGCTTTTTAGGGTTTAGGGATGGATTTTTGTATATAAATTTCATTTGCATACATTGGGAACTGAAATTGTCTTTTTATATATAAATTTCAGTCTTTTGGGGTGTAGTCAGAGTATCCAAGGTTCTGTTTTTGTTTTTGTCTTAGGGTGCAATAAAGATATATCAGTTCTTAAGTAGTACTATTATGTGAATACAAAGAATTGTCAGAATCATAAATAAACCCATTCTGTGTAAAATATCAGTTTGGCCAAAACTATTACCATCAACGAATGGTAATATTCATCGCGCAGTGCAGGATCTATAGATCAAATACTCAGCCTCTACGCCTAAAAAAACATTATGATCATGAGAAGTTACGAGACCCACAGGTCACAGCAGTGATTCACGAAATGGTTGCACATTTATATGATTAGATATTTCGGTGAAAACTCAATTATGAAAGGAAAAGAAATATCAAAAAAAGGCTTAAGTGGAAATAGTAAAGATAATTGCATATCGGATACCAACTTTGACTTTTTTTTAAAAAAGTTAAAAACAGTATAATATATATATATATATATAGGTTGGTCCGCACATATATGTAGGTATAATGTTTTTGATATACATAGTTAAAATATTATTATGTTTATATATATATATATATATTGTTTTAGTATTTCACAACTTATTACTGAAACTAATATATTTTAAATTTTTTATTTTTATGATATTTGTAATAATATATAATCAAATATATAAAAGTTATATTAAATAATAAGTATATTCTTATAATATTTTTGAATATTATTTATAATATATTTTATTTCTCCTTAAATAATCTACAATACTTTTTTACGTCTTGCATAATATGAATCTGAAATACGTATATAATATATTTTTAAATATATATTTTTTTTCATTTATTGCAAATTAAACTGAAACAGTTTTTACCATTTTTAGTTATCCTAAGAGCGGGTAGATGGTTGGCATGCATGTGTGTGCGTATCAACCACCTCACTACACTTAGAATAGATAAATATTTTAAAAATAAATAAATTGTACTATAAAAATTAAAGTATAAATTAGACTGTAATCAAGCTTAACAAGTACTAACATGTACGAAAAGGTTCATGTGACTTCTACTAATGCACAATTAATATTTATGTATGTACGTGTATTTGTAAAAAATCGAAATATGGCTCTTACATGTTAAAAAGTTTTTAAGTGATTTAGTAAAACAAAATGCGAGAGATTTATTTTTATACACTTCTCTTGAAGAGCAGCACTTGGGCATTTACCTTGAACTCCCTTGGTAAGATCTTCTTATCACTATTTTTAATTCTTATTCATATTTATTTCATCTTATTTTAATTTACTATTTCGTTCAGTTATTTTTCATTTCATTTATGATCTCAAATTTTTGATATACAATAAAAAAAATTATGAATATGATAAAAAAAATTATTTATTTATAATATGATAAGAGATAAGATGAGATGGTAACATAAGTTATGTATATTTTAGAAAACAACAATAAAAATGTGATAAAAGTTTTATAAAAATATATGGTCCTAATAATATTATTTTTAACACTTTATTCTTTAAATTATTTTTTATCATGATTGTATTTTATTTAAAATTATATTATTTAATAATTTGTTTATTTAAAACTTGTTTAGATGTTTTTACTATATTTTTGTGAATTAATAACTTTCCAAAAAAAATATATCATACTTCAAACATTATTAATATATAGACTTTTTACTATTCTATTAGATAATTTAGTATTATTTTTTCGATTTTATATGAAATATATATATATATATATTTTTTGTTGTTGAAAACATTTTGTAATATATTTTATGAAATTATGAATATATGTAAAATGTTGAAATCATAATAATAATAATTTTTTGTTAATTTAAGTGTTATAAGTATAATCTAGTGTTTTATGTTTTAATTCCATAAGTTCTTTAATTTTAATTCAACTAATCAAAACATTTCATTTATTTTAGGAAATTTGACATGTCACATTTACATGTCATCAATTAAAAGCATTAACTTTGACTATAGTGTTGACAAGTCAACTATTTTTAAAAATATTACTTCTCAAATAATATGTAGTGGATGGATGTAGAAATTGTCCATAAAAATTGTCCAAGCATGTTATGTCATCAATTTATGTTTCTGTTATTGTTGTTATTTGCCAGATTAACCCGTGAAATAAACCAATTCTGTCTACCGTATTAAAGTAATGCCTCAACTATTATTATCAACATATGGTAATATTCATGCATTCTATACATCAAATACTAAAATTCTCTAGACATAAATTTTGATGATCATACAAAATCACAACTCCCTGATAAAAGAAATTCAGTTCGTGACACACGAAATGGTTGTAGTCCAATTGTTTTTTTTTTTGTAATGGTTGTAGTCCAATTGTTGCATATTACATATTTGCTTTATCGTCAAAAAAAAAAAAAAAAGCTCGATATTAACCCGGTGCAATATTATCACAGTGTACCCAACTCGTTTCTATCTCCAAGTACATTTTCACTAATTAAACGACGTACATAAGTTAAGATTAAATTTAACTTTATCAAGCTTTACATCTTATCTTATATCGATATGTCAACATTTCATATATTTTTCTTAGCAAAAAGAAAGAAAGAAAAAAAAACAGTTCATATGCATCTCAACCTCTCGTAATCATCCATCTAAATGGGATGGCTTTGTTTCCACTTTGACCCATACATTGAAATTTGAAAGAGACCCAAGAATCAAAAGGAGGAAATAAAAAAAAAAAGAAGGAAGAAAAGTGATGTCTTAGTTTGTCTTTAATTATATATTATATCACAATCCAAAACTAATTGTTCATGTGCTTTTTAACCTTTCGGACATCTAATTTTGAGAACCATTACGTGGAAGTCAAGCCTAGGTGATGGATGTGGTCGGTCCAAAATGGTTCAACGTCACGTGGTTTATGTCCTTCGGGTCCATTCTCCCTAATCATCAAAACTTTGATTATTTTTTCGACTTTATAAAAACTCCTTGCTTCTTGTTTAAATAACCCTATATCAATCTATTATGAAACTCAAAGTTAAATAATATAAAAAGTAAAAACCCCTAAAGATTTCCAATCCGTAGCTTCTTAATTATAACTTCGTAACCAAAGTATATAAACACTCAAAAAAAATTCAGTATGGACATTATTTTCTTCTATTCAGAGCTTTTTAAGTTAGGGAGAACATACTTTCGGATTCAACTAAAATCGGGAAAAAGATAGAGCGCAAAAGAAAAGGAAAAGAAAGGACATGGGCAAAAGAAACCAGAGCCACAACTACAACTACCACCTTTCAGACCTTGTCACCTTTCTCTTTCTCGACATACATAAAGCAGAACTACTTTGCTTTGTTTAATCATTCGTTAGTACTTGAGCTTTATAGGAGAAAAAAAATGAAACAGGGTTAAAAAATTGTGTGAAGAGAAAAATAATTATATGTGAAAGATGTAGCAGACATGGTGTGTGATAAAATTGAACGCAAAGAATGCATGACACCATGCATGCAGCTGTATATTTCATTTGTGGGAGGGGAAATATCATTAATATATAATTAAATACGATTTGTCAAATTGATAGTTCCTTTTAATGTTAAATTGATAGTTGTTGAATCAATATATTTGTGTTTTAGTATGGGAGTAAGTAACAGTGGACAGTTCTTGGATACTAGATATTACAAACAATAAATAGAAACATTGATGATCTAGCGATTACAGTTTTTCATGATTGAAACAAAATATTCTTGGTAATACTTGAAATTTTATTTGGTCACAGCGAGCCTTTAAATTCAACCACTGTCCATTAACCTAGTGCAATTTTATGGGGTTGAATTAGCTCATTTTACGATGTTAATTTAAAGTTTAATGTAATTCGAAAATGATACGAGTACAGTTATCTATTTCTTGTAGGCTTTGTTGGGGGACCAAACGGTCATCTCGATAACTCAACAGTTAAATTAGTTAATCTAGTTATTGGGTAAATTACATGTATCATCGTCCGTTTATCTGCCAAATACATTTATTCCTACAAAAGTAATCAAAGTTTAATTAATCTACGTCTAAAGGTAGTCGTTAATTAGCTGACCATACTTTTAGCATAAATTTAATCTTGCATAATTTTTTTACCTTATTTATTTATAAACTAATTAAGACCAAAGGCAATACTTTAATCATCAAATATACATGTGGATATAACAAAAGAAACATATTGTACATGTTGATAACAAGAAAAGCAAAATTAGAAAACACACTTCAACGAAAGAAAATGAAACTATCAAAGTATCAAACTATAACTAACATCTTTTCTCTATAGAAAACATAACATAATAGTAAAAGTTATTCTACATATATACCTTTTATTAACGCGACTCATCTCAGAGTTTTTACAAAAGATAAAACACGGAGTGGTACATATAAAAGTAAATTTTTGGATTTTGTGATATCATTTCGGAAATATTTCTAATTTTGTCTGCACTTTTTTTCATATTTCGTCAATTTAGAGTTTTTCTTTGGGTCAATTAGTACTACTACAGTTTCCATGAGATTTGACCGACCACTTCTTCGCTAAAATTTCATTTAATATTCGTTGCCTTTGTCCTACGCACTTAAAAGCTTTCACATTTCCCGAACCAACACTTTAAGAACCAAAGCAAGAAAATCAATTCTCTCAATTCCATTGCAATCGCAAGAATCTAGGCAATACGTCATTATGTCTGTATCACTGTATGGGTTAAAATTTTACATATTCTTCTGTTACTCTATTAAATAATCTCTTATCATCATGATGATATCACTAAACCATATGTGGCTATCGGAGAACATTTTATTAATTAGATACGTAGGTTTTAAATCCTGTAGGAAGCATTATGGTAACACCGTAAAAAAGGCTTTCAAATAAGTGCATATACCCTTTAGTAAAAAAAAAAAAAAAAAAGAGCATGCACGAAAGAAACTAAACTATTATTACCACCAAAAAAAAAAAAAAAAAAGAAACTAAACTATCCACACCACACACCTCACGGAAGGCCGATCATAGGACGCGACATGGTGAAAGTTACATACGCATCTCCCATATTTAAGGCCTCACGGTGACCGACTCTAATACTCTCTCTCATTCGAGAGGTATCACTAGCAATCCAAAGGTTAATCTACTCCAAGAAAACATCTTATAACAATATAAAAGACTTGAAAAAGTTTAAATACAAACGTTGAATAAACCAATTTGAACTCAATTTTTGTTTTTTTTATGGTTTTGTTAATATGTGTGAAAAACAAAGATGGAGTACATAGTTTTTTTTTTTTTGTAGTTTTGTTCATATGTGTGAAAAATTCCAAAATGAAAAAAAAAAGATTGGAGTAAAGTTTTTGTTTTTTTTTTTGTAAACAAACTCAACGTTGCAACAATGAAATTTAATGAACAAATTAAAGTATCTGTGGTCTATTTGTTTTCACACAAAAAAAAAATTAAAGAAAAAAAAAAAGACAAAACCCTCCTCGGGGCTTTTAAATGCAACGACCACCAAAGTCACGAAAGTCTCTCTCTCTCTCGCAGAGCTTTCTACCCTCTGCACGCCTAATGGAAGAAAACGTAGAAATCTCGTTGACGATCTCCTTCTTCTTCTCTCATCCTCTCTTCTACTGTTTCATCACTTTTTACACTCTAATTCTCATCTACTTCCCTTATGATTCCTTTCGAATCCTTCTCTCCCCTGTTCTTCTCATCTCCGGTGCCCTTCTCCTCTTTCTTCTCCGTCTCGGTTCGACCCGAGAATCAATCACCCGACCCGGTAAAAGCAACGAAGGAGAAGCCCGAAGTGTGAATCTCGAGGAGGCTGTAGAATCTAAGGCTTTGGTTCGTGATTCTTCGTCCGAAACTGATTCCGACACGAAACCCGGTTTTGTGGAGTGGGATTTGAGAGCACCATTGGAGGTGATACACGAAGCTTATGAAGAGGACGACGATGAAGAAGAGAATCCGTCGGTGTCGGGTGAAAAAGACCCGACCCGATTGAGGGAAACAGAGAGATTCCCGTCGTTGTCGCTCTGCTACCCAGAATCAGATTCGGAATCGGATTCGGATTCCTCGTCGGAATTCAATTTTCCGGAGATCGGTAGCTGGATCTCACCGGAGAAAGTGGGATTCAGATGGGAAGAAGAAGAAGAAGAAGAAGAAGACGGCGATGGAACTCGAGGCGAAGGGTTGATTGAGATAAAGCTGGGTGAATATCATCGTAGTAGCCAGGAAAAGATGAGCAAACGGAAACAAACAGAGTTGGATTTTCATGCAGAGGATGATGGTTTGATCGAGATCGATCTCTTTCCATAGCATTTTACGGTTTAGAAATAAAGGTTTTTAAAAAATTAAAAAAAAGCAAGTAAAGGTTAATTTCAATGCAAATGTCATAATTCAATTCTGAAGAGCTTCTATAAAAAGGATTAATCTCCTCCCCCGACTAATTATACTGAACCACTTTAACATCGACCGAATCCAAAAAGAAAACCGATGTAGAGGTTGAAATATCTAGGATTTTTTAAAAATGTGAAACATAATTTAAAACATCGTTTGAAAAGCATGCATATCTATTATCTACTCATATATCAAAGCCGAGAATAATATTAAGAATTCCTAAAGTTAGAACAAAAACAAATACACGAGGAGGTTATTCAGTAATTGTAATCGCAATCACACAAATGAGACAAAGGATTAGAAAACAATAGTGTTGCGTTATACAAACACCGACTCATCACATTTTGGTACTAGTACTATATACTAATCTTATTTCATTTAGAGGCTCAATAAAACAACATAACCATAACATGGACTTATATTTAATATTTTGAAGACTATTCGATTCGTCTCGTCTCTTATTTTACTTTTTGGTAGGGTCTAAACTGCACACAAATATAAAAGAAAAGAAAAATATTATAGAGGAGAGCACATGACCAAAATTGTTGCCGTAAACGCCAAGTCAAAGTAGTAAATAAAAAAGCTGGAAACCACCACCGTCACAAAGCAAAAAACGACACGCAGTTCGGTTACCCTTCTCTTGGGAGTCTCACAAATCCCCCAACCTCGTTGGCCTCGCTTTTTATTAATTCTTTAATTTTCCCACGCTTGACACGTCTCCAACAAAACGGTTATCAATAACAGAACATCGCCAACGTCACTCTCCTTCTCCCACTTGGCCTCTCCACATCTCTCTCACTCGTTTCTCAAAAGCTTCACCTTTCGTTTTCTCCTCTTCTCCACGATTCTCGGCCTTAGCGTCTACTTTCTCTCTCTGTGTGTGTCTCTATAAGCAGAATAGTATTCTTCTTCTCGGAGACTGAATCGATCGTACAAGCGGAAATGAAACCTTTCACCTTCTTCGGTAGATTTTCTAGAGCTTTCCATGATCATCCTTCTCTCTCCAGGATCCTCCTCGTCTCCACCATCAGGTCAGTGTCTCATTTCTTCATTGGATCTGAATATATTCTTAAGCTTTTACGTTTCCCATGGAATCTGTGTTTAGGAGATCTTAGCTTACATTCTCATTCTGTCTAGAGCAGAGCTTATGTTCATAATCAATGATTAATAATTTTAGAGATCTAATGTTACAATATACTACTTGACGTTTATTATTACTGATACGATATTTATCGTTTCATAGTGGTGGAGGACTTATAGCCTATTCTGAGGCAAATGCATCATTCTATAGTAACAATGGTGTTGAGACTGGAACCAGAAAGAAGAAGGTAGTGCTGCTCGGAACTGGATGGGCTGGAGCAAGTTTCTTGAAGGATTTGAATAATCCATCATACGAGGTTCAGGTTATATCGCCTCGAAACTACTTTGCTTTCACCCCTCTGCTTCCTAGTGTCACTTGTGGAACCGTTGAAGCTCGCAGCGTCGTTGAGCCCGTTCGCAACATTGGAAGGAAGGTATCTGTTGCATAACTTCATTGTAGTGTTTGTATCTGTTGAGAACTTACTAAATGCAAGCTTGTGCTTGTGTCTTTGACAAGCAGAAAAATCTTGAGGTGTCTTTCTTGGAAGCAGAATGTTTCAGAATTGATCCAGGAAGCAAGAAAGTTTACTGTCGATCTAAACAAGGCCTGGACTCTAAGGGAAAGAAAGAGTTTGATGTTGACTATGACTACCTTGTGATTGCTACTGGTGCTCAGTCTAACACATTTAACATTCCTGGGGTGGAGGAGAACTGTCATTTCTTGAAAGTAAGTTCTCTTGGAGATCTTTGATAGTTTTCTTGCTGCGCAAGATTCATTGTTCTGTTACCACATGACTGAATGTTTTCCAAGGATTTTATGTCTTCTTCATGTCTCTAATAAGAAATGGTGGTGGTGGGATTGCAGGAGGTTGAAGATGCACAGAGAATCCGTAGAACTGTAATTGATTCATTTGAGAAGGCAAATTTACCGAACCTAAACGAAGAAGAGAGGAAGAGAATTCTACATTTTGTAGTTGTTGGTGGTGGACCAACAGGTGTTGAGTTTGCTTCTGAGCTGCATGATTTCGTCACCGAGGATCTTGTCAAACTCTATCCTAAAGCCAAAAATTTAGTGCAGATCACTCTTCTAGAGGCTGCAGACCACATCTTGACCATGTGAGGTTTTCTTGACCTCTAAAAGTTTTTGATCATTGTCGAAAGATTCATCACTTTTTCATCATTGTGTCACAGGTTTGACAAGAGAATCACTGAGTTTGCAGAAGAAAAGTTTAGCAGAGATGGTATTGATGTGAAATTGGGTTCTATGGTGACTAAAGTGAATGAGAAAGATATATCTGCTAAAACCAAAGGAGGAGAGGTTTCCACAATTCCGTATGGAATGATCGTTTGGTCAACTGGTATTGGGACACGTCCTGTGATAAAAGATTTTATGAAACAAATTGGTCAGGTGTGTAGTTTAACTTCGAATGTTTTGATCTTTTGCTCATCACATTACTCATCATTTTTCTTAAGGTGTTTTCTTGTAAAATTGCAGGGTAATAGACGCGCTTTAGCAACTAATGAATGGCTTCGTGTTGAAGGATGTGATAACATATATGCACTTGGTGATTGTGCAACTATCAACCAGAGAAAAGTCATGGTAACCCACATACACAGTTCTCTGTTTCGGTTACTCTGTTTTCTCTGTTTCTTACGCTTTAAGATTGAGATTTGTCTTTCTTTGTTCAGGAAGATATAGTTGATATTTTCAAGAAAGCAGATAAGGACAATTCAGGAAAGCTGACACAGAGAGAATTTCAGGAAGTGATAGATGATGATATATGTGTTAGATACCCACAAGTGGAGCTCTACTTGAAGAGCAAAGGTATGCGTGGCATTGCCGATCTATTAAAACAAACACAAGCTGAGAATGGTTCCAATAAGCCCATCGAACTCAGTATAGAAGAGCTTACGTCAGCTCTTTGTCAAGTTGACTCACAAGTGAAGTTTCTCCCAGCTACTGGACAGGTTTGTTCTGTTCTTACTAACTTGGAACAACAGTCAGAGACACACTTTTGTTTGGTTAATCACTTGTCCTTATGGCTTAAGGTCGCTGCTCAACAAGGGACTTACCTAGCAAAATGCTTTGATCGTATGGAAGAATGCGAGAAAAACCCTGAAGGTCCCATTAGGATTAGAGGAGAAGGTCGTCATCGATTCCGTCCCTTCAGGTTGGATCCAAATCTGTCATCTTAAAACACACACAAAGTCATTGAGATTGCCTCGTTAGTTATAAACTAATTATTGTAAGATGAAAATGAAAATGTGTTATAGGTATCGACATTTGGGACAATTCGCTCCATTAGGAGGAGAACAAACAGCAGCACAACTTCCAGGAGACTGGGTTTCGATAGGACACAGCAGTCAATGGCTGTGGTACTCAGTTTACGCGAGGTAACGTTATTTGGACTTTTTTTTCTCTAATCTCTAGTGAAATACAAAAGTAACTTTCATATGATTTTTCTTTTTTAAACATTGGTTTTACGGTTTGGTAACACAAATAGTAAGCAAGTGAGCTGGCGAACGAGAGTCCTGGTGGTCTCAGACTGGGTGAGACGATTCATCTTTGGGAGGGATTCAAGTCGCATTTGAAAATCTCAGGTCTCTATAGTCTTTGGCTGTTTTACAAGTCGTCGTCTTGCAAAACAACAATGCGGGAAGATGTTAAACGTCATTTGGTTACTTTCATGAGATTTTGCATGTCTTCATTTTAGCGTAATCCAGCGAATTGTCCCAAATGTCATTTGGTTACCAACGCTTTATATCACAATTCTTTTTCTTTGGTTCTTCTTGTTCTTCCAAAGTAGGATCTCATATGGAAAAGTTCTAACATATGATGGGAATTTTGTAAAAAAAAAATCAAACATATGATATTACAGATATTAGTTTTAGTGTGTGTTATAGAAAAAAAATAAACCATAAATATTTAGTTAAACTAACCTTAACAAAATAATGTTTTACAATACATGACAACATGTGTCGTATTGTCAGAAATTACTTTCTTAGATCTGTTATTATCCTTAGCCAAGATTTTGATGATTAATCTCCCTTACATGATAATGACAATATTAGTTGTAGAGGTTGATATAGGTTATTCTTCTTGCAATACGTAATTCTTAAATTGTTTTATCTTTCTCATCTAGTACTAAAAACAAAACCTAACTCGACTAACCTACCTATTACTTAATTAGCATTTTACGTAAAAGGAAACATTAAATTCAAAATACTGTACCATGCATTCCCCATTCGTTGAATTTATAACATGTTTGCCAGCTAGAAAACAAAATTAAGACTACTTATAGTGATTTGGTGTTCTTTCTAGTTTCCATGGATTATAAAAAGTTTATATGAACAAAAAATACGCAAAATTGTAGATATATGAGAATCCAATGCGCCTCAATTATTGAGTCCAATTGCTAGATGAAAAAATATATTTGTCAAGCTCTTTTGGTGTTAGTAACAAACTAATACCGTGTTACCTTATTAGGATAAAAAGAAGACAAAGGATTAATAAATAAAATGTACAACATTCTAATGCAATTATGCAACTTAAAAAGTTAATCCACTATCCATTTTGAATCTCCATATAAACACATATTAACGATCAACTGCTTGTATAAACACTAAAACACTCAATTAACCCTCCATACCTCTGCTTACACTAATAAAAGAAACATAATTTAGTAAAAAGACTAAAATGCCCGCAGTCGGAATTGTCAACGGAGTAGGAAGAAGGGAATATCCCGGTAACCTCACTCCTTACGTCACCGTGACGTGTATCGTCGCCGCCATGGGTGGTCTCATTTTCGGTTACGACATCGGAATCTCCGGTAAGCAACTCCCCCAATTCTTTTTTTCATTTTCTCCGACGAGTAATTTGTAAGAACAATGTTAAAATGCCTTATTTTCAGGTGGAGTGACAACTATGGAGTCGTTTCAGGAGAAGTTCTTCCCGTCGGTATACAAGAAACAACAGAACGATCACGAGTCGAGCAAATACTGCAGATTCGACAGCATTTCTCTCACACTCTTCACCTCCTCTCTCTACCTCGCCGCTCTCTGCTCCTGCGTCGTTGCCTCTCACGTCACCCGGAAGTTTGGCCGGAAATTTTCCATGCTTCTCGGCGGAGTTCTCTTCTGCGCCGGATCTCTCCTTAACGGATTCGCAACCGCTGTGTGGATGCTCATCGTTGGCCGTTTGTTACTCGGTTTCGGTATCGGCTTCACCAATCAGGTCCTTTATTTTAATCAAAATTTCTATTTCTGAACCTCGTACTTAGTTTCTACCACATAGGCCCCTATGGCTCCATTACTTTAGGGCCTTCAACTTATAGAATATTACAAAATAGCCTCAAAGCTTTCTTAATTTTTTAATATTGACAGTCCGTACCGTTGTATCTCTCGGAGATGGCACCGTATAAATTCAGAGGATCACTAAACATTGGATTTCAACTCTCAACCACCATCGGCATCCTCGTCGCCAACGTCTTAAACTTCTTCTTCGCAAAGATTCGCGGCGGATGGGGTTGGCGGCTAAGTCTCGGCGGCGCCGTCGTTCCCGCTCTTATCATCACCGTCGGCTCCCTTTTCCTCCCGGACACACCCAATTCCATGATCGAGCGAGGTCAATTTGAGCTAGCCGAAAAGAAACTCCGTAAGATCCGAGGCGTCGATGACGTTGACGACGAGATCAACGACTTGATCGCCGCCAGCGAAGCTTCCAAGCTCGTGGAGCATCCATGGCGGAACCTGTTGCAGAGGAAGTACAGACCGCATCTAACGGTGGCGATTCTGATCCCTTCTTTCCAGCAGCTCACCGGAATCAACGTCATCATGTTCTACGCGCCGGTTCTGTTCCAGACGATCGGATTCGGTAGCGACGCGGCTCTGATGTCGGCGGTAGTGACCGGTGTGGTTAACCTCGGAGCCACTATGGTCTCAATCTACGGCGTCGACAAATGGGGAAGACGATTTCTCTTCCTTGAAGGAGGATTCCAAATGCTGATTTCTCAGGTTTTTTGCAATTTCTTCATCAGTCCGGTTCTGGTTAACAATCAATCCGGTTATTATGTACCGGTTAACATTTCAATCGGCTTCTTCGTCTTTGTTATTAGGTAGCTGTTGCGGCGGCAATCGGAGCTAAGTTCGGCGTCGATGGAAACCCAGGACATCTACCAAAATGGTACGCCATTGTTGTGGTCTTCTTCATATGCATCTACGTGTCGGCGTTCGCTTGGTCGTGGGGTCCACTTGGATGGTTAGTCCCGTCGGAGATTTTCCCGCTGGAGATTCGATCGGCGGCTCAGAGCTTAACGGTGTCGATGAACATGATCTTCACGTTCGTAATCGCACAAGTGTTTCTGATGATGCTTTGCCACATGAAATTCGGGTTGTTCATATTCTTCGCCTTCTTCGTGGTGGTGATGTCGATTTTCGTCTACTTTTTCTTGCCGGAGACGAGAGGTGTACCGATCGAAGAGATGAACCAGGTCTGGAGATCTCATTGGTATTGGTCAAGCTTCGTTGACGCCGATGAGCCTGCTCGTGTAGAGATGGGCAAACTTAACTAACAAACCATGAAAAATCGGAAGACTATTATTTAGGATACGATTAGTATTAATTACTTTGTTCATTTCGTTTCATACGAAAACAAAGTTTGTACTTTCTCTGGTACTTTATATTATCGTGAACACCACTTCCGATAACATACAAGTTTGATTTGAGTTAAGAGAACAATCAGAAAGTTTGATTCTTTATTAACTCATAATCAAGAACGAGAGAGTACAAGAGTTTCGATTCTTTACATAAGAATGAGAGGAAACATTCTTTACATAAATGAATGTTATCATTTTGACAGATAAGGATCATCCTTGAACTTAGCATACGATGGAAGATCAAGAGCTCTCTCTGCAACTTCCCTGTCCTCGTGAATCTTTGCAACGAGACTCTCCAGTGAAGAAAAGTTAGCCTTGCAATAAGAACACAAACACCATGAGCCAACAATAGAAACAAACAAGTACTGCATAACGTTAGATCAAGTCACAGAGTCATTATGAAGAATGGATAATTTGATGATGATGATGATAATAACCTCAGGGCGTATATATCCAACGATTATAAGACGCAGCTCTTCTCCGTAGAAATCTTCTGCGAAATCGTGAAGCAGCCACGGCTCCTGTTCAACAAGAGGTTAAGTCAAAAGACAACAAGCATTGTAAGGGTGAGAAAATTTTAAAACTTTTTGATGAACTCACGATAGTTTTCTCGGTGTTGTTGAAATAAGGATTCCAACCAATGCTCATGACCATTTTAAAGACGCCTCTCGTTGCTAACCCCGCCCAACCAAAGTACACTCCCGATGGATGTTCGACTAGATCATCCGCATAATCCTTTGTTGATAAGTTAGCTGAAAAACAAATCTGGAATCAAGAAAAGAGGCCACACAAGTATACACCATAGAAAAGAGATTGGTTCGATGATTGTTGTACAGACCTGTGGGGATCCCGAGTACCTTAGAGCCACGGCCGTATCCTTTGATAACTGGACCTCCAATACGCCATGGATCAATTGGTAAAGTGTTCTCTACCCCTGCAAGTTGCAAAGGTTTAACGTCTATTTACTGACATGAAATAGTTATTGAGCGAAGTTCGTGAGTGTGTTTCTTACAGTCTTGAAATGGAGGAAGACCCCATTTTTCGGGTCTTATGTCGAGCAGAGAGTTGATGACTTCGTCTGCAGATGTATAAAGATGTGTTTGTTTAGGCAGAGAAGGAACAGCAATCACTCTTGTCCCAGCTGCTTTACCAGCCAAAACACCAGGCCTGTCAATTTTTACTAACTATTAGTCAAAGAGAGAACCAAATGCGCAGCTGCAAGACGAGACGCTAAGAGTAAAGACTCACACAGAATCTTCAATAACCAAACACTCAGCTGTATCTTTATTCAATCTTCTCGCTGCTTCAACAAAACTTTTATAGAAAAAAAGTTGATCTTTGTGATTAGAATTGTAACGGATTTTCTTTTAATTGGAATCTGTAGACAAAGCTGGATATGGATCTTACATATCAGGAGAAGGTTTTCCTTTGGAAACTTCATCTCTACCAACAATAACAGTGAAGCATTCCTTCCAACCTACACAAAAGTGAAGAAATTACTTCAAGACCAATTCTACCTAATACAAGCTTGTGCATTGAGTACACATTTTCATAAAAGCCAAACCTTCATGATAAGAGATTTTGGATTCAATGTTCGCCTTTGAAGAATTTGAAGCCAAGGCCATAGGCACTCCATGACCTTTCAGATGACGAATCAACCTGTTGGCACCAGGAAGGGATTTGATTTTGTCCATCCTACACAAATCACGAAATTGAAAGAAAAAAAAAACTCAAAACCAGAGGGAATCGTATTTAAATGAAGACAAAAGAGAAGGAGAAACAAAGGGAACGACTTACTGAGCAGAGAACAAAGGGTAGAATTCTGAATTGAATTCATCAACTGCACAAGGAAGCCCATAATCTTCAACAATGGTGGTCGCAGCTTCTAATGGAGTTTTCCCAACTATCTTAAGCGACTCTCTTCCATCCCACTGTTTACCATATTTACACAAGTATTTCCTCAAAATGTCACCCACAACACCATCTACAGGAAATTTACAAAGACATCAGAATCGTATTAATTAAGAGAAATCGAAACAAGTTATATTGAATTCGTAAGGTGTACCTGTGTTGATTAAGGTACCATCGAGATCAATAAGAACACAAGAAGTGAGCTTTTTCAAGGAATTGCTCATCGACATTACTCCAACTAGAGAGAATTGTTCACACTCCTCCTACACAGAATTTACTGTTCATACAATAGTCGACCTGGGCTGCGAGATTGATTCAGCGTTGCGGCGGCACGTAGACGCCGGCGAACGAATTGATGACGACGGCAAAAATCACGCAGCAGAGCGCAAAATAGAGGAGGAAAGGTGGAGAAGATGTACACGTAAGTTTAGGTATCCACCCTCTGGATTTACATATTCTATTCGAAATCCCGGTCCTACCGAATATTCAAATTGGAAACCGAAGTTTAAGGTCAGCATCTGGAATTGAAGATTCGAAATCCCGGTCCTACCAAATGGTTATGAGAAAGAAAACCGACCGAGATCCAACATTCTGCTGATGTGTTCAATACTTAGACGACGCGGTGTTACATTGGAATTAAGACCAAAAGGTCCAAAACATGTGTTCATTTCGACCAATGGTCAAAACCGACCAATTCAAGTAAAAACGTTCGGTTAAAATTAAATTAATCGGCTGCATTTTAATTTCTACTTTACACTTGAAGCTTCCCACAAGCATCCTCTCTGTCATTTTTTTATTAGTCTTAACATGAACAATTCATTATCAAACCCCAAGTTTTACATTTCTTTTTACATGAAAAAGTTTCCTTCATTGTCTTTTTTACCAACATGATACTTAGATTTGCATTATGAATGTAGAAGTTAGCAGAGAAATTCAATATCGTGGTCTCTTCTTCTTCTTCTTCTTCTTCTTCTTCACAAGCACACACTTGTTTTTTTAGTATTTTGCCTCAGAAGGATCTTTTAGTCTCAGACAGAGTCAACTCCTTCGCCTTGTTGCTGTGCAAGATATCTCTCTCGACGCTCCTTCTGTGTAACATTATTTAGAGGGAAGACACACAAAAATTGTAAGATTTTCACAATCATCTAATGTAAGAGACTCTACGATAGCAAACGTGACTCACCCATTCATCGATCACAAGTCCTTCTCCAATCATCTTTGGACCTGTTTCCTCTGGTGGTTTCTTTCGTGCCTCCACTGCTGCATCCGCTTCAGCTAGCTGACGTTTCAATTTCTCCAGTGCCTTTTCATTCATCACATAGATAATTAGAGAGAAACTCCATAAGAAAAAATCCAATGTATTATAGAATCATGGTCATAAGTATAATGATTCGGATACTCACTGGGTTGGGACGTTCAGGATCCAGGAAGATCACACGCAATATTTGCTCCTTAGACACATCATCCTTCTGCTCATCAAACTGCGGAAACAGAAACAGAACTCTAGTTATGATTTAGAGATGGACCAAACATCTTATTTTCTATTTGGATTCTGACTTGTAGTTTATATAGTTTTCAAGTTCAAAAATAAGCTCATGAATACATACCAGCTCAGGCACGTAGTCCATTGGACCTTTCACCTTCAGGCTCATGATTTTAAACTTAACTCTGCTCCTTTGATCCATTGGCTTCTCGTTATTCTCAGGAGGCTCCACAAACTTGAACACTGTACATTTCAAAAAGGGGTGAAAATAGAGTCACAGGCATAATCTTCAAAAGCCATTGCTCTAATAGCCTCATCAAGAAGAATGAGAACACATGGGAAAAGAAGAAGCAATTTACCAGTAGCGATAAGAGTCTCTCCAGGAGCAAGAATAGCACCTGGTGGACGCATGAAGCAACTCTTCGGTGCAGTTGTTTGAAACTGAAGAGCAAACGAGTAAGCACATTTACAAATGCAAAAGGCGGATGATAAAATCGCTTATATCGAAAAAACATACCTTGAAGGCTACATGTGATTTGCTGGTATTTTTAATCTTAATAGCACTCCTCACTTGCTTCCCAGGCTCATCTTCAAACAAAGTAATTCAAGTACTCTTCAATTAATTGGAGGGAAAATAACTGACGACTATAACTTCCAAATCCAACTCCAAACCAAACAATAAAGGAAGAATTAATCATCCAACATCAAGGCCTGTACCAAAATGATTCTACACAGACTCCTAATTTTGGAATGCTGAACAAAAATGACGTCTTTAGAGTTATGGGTCAGTTAAAAAACCAATCTTTGATTGAAAACGGCCCATATATTTTAGAGAAATCATATGGATTAATGGCGAATGTACCGAATCAGTCTGCTCCCCTAAGCTTAGCTATTTCAAGTAACTTTCAGGTCAACGTCTAGTCTTCAAAGTTCAGACACAAACGACAGCAAATGAACAAAGTGAAATTCAAAACGCCGATAAGATATAGCAAACTGGGAATACGATCCAATATCAGGATTCAGCTCTTGATTCCAAAAAAACTGGTGAAAAAAAGTTTTAAAAATTCTTCTTCAGATCAGTCAAATACTCAGTTCCTACTAAAAAATATCATATAGAGAGAGAGCGAAATCAGATCGAATTTTGGCTACTAGTATAAATCGATCAGGAACAACCCAAGACGGAGAAGAAGAAAAAAACGATTCCGATCAGAATAGATTCGAACAACTCACAAGGAAAATAGAGTTTCTCCGATGGATCAAGCTTCAATCGGCGTTTCGTAGGCAGAAATGACTTGGCAACAGACGAAACCGAAGGGGAAGGGGCCGGGTGCTGATTTTGACCCGATCCATCACCATGAGGCCCGTTATAGCCAATTTGATGATGATGATGAAGATGGTGGTGATGCTGATGATGGTGTTGTTGATGAGGATGTTGGTTATGGAGCTGAGAAGATGTAGAAGAAGAGGAAGCTCCCGATGGAAACGGAGAGGTAGCAGCACTAGAGGCGTTTCCGTGACCGCCGGTAGAGTTTCGAAACGGAATCTTGAAGAAACCCCAACCTCGGCCATCGGAAGCCGGTTTCTCCTCCGTCGTCATAGTCATCTCTCTCTCACGGGTAGGGCATGCAATTTGCGACAGAGATGGGTTGACTCGTGAAGAGAGAGAGCTTCTCTTGTTTGTTGTTGGAGTAGAGAGAGAGAGAGAGAGAGAGAGATCGGACGCGAGAGTGGGGAGAGAAAGTGGATTTAATTGGTTGATTTCACGTCCGGTTTTCGATATAATTTGGTTTTTATATTACTTTTTTGTTTTGGGTGCTTGATTAGCGGAAGAACATCGAATCGACGACAGTGGAGGGGTGAATTAAAAAAGCGACAGAGACATGCTTGTAAAAAACGACAGCGTATTGTATTATTCTCTTACAAAAGTCTTTCTACAACTTTTGGTTTCTCATTTCTTCAAAGTCTTTTCTTTTTGCTTTGTTTAATGTTCGCTTTCAAGTCTATTTTTGCTGGTTTCTAGATAATTTCAAACTTTTATTTTTCATTTTGTGTATTTTAGCCATGGATAATATTCAGAATTGTTGAACAGTGCATAGATGTAGCTTGTTAAAGAATTAGGATGGTGTAGGACTTTAAATTAACAATGGGCTTATATTTTTGGCATTTCCTAGTCAGACCAAGTCAGATTAAGACTTACCATACGCATATATTCATTATTCACCTTGTTAGTGAACAAGCTATACTATCATCGATACGCGAATATGATTCACAATATTTTCAATGGGATAATCATACTTTTGTATCTTAAATGTAAAAGTATGAAAGAATAATTAAAATGGAAAATCAGGATCATCCCATTGAAGAACAGCAGATTCAATGTTATGCTCTCGCTTCAGCTTATCCTTCAAGAACCAGTCGCATACCTTTCCAGCATTCAACTCTTCTATTGAACATCCTTCTTGCTCCGATATGACTCTTAGTAAATTCAACGATGATATCTATACAAATTTAATTCCAATATATATACCAGAAAGTTAATACAAAATTCCTTCTTTCTAAAAATCAATGTACATGTCTTTTTCCAAAAACAAAATGATATTCTAGTTATTTAATTAATGTATATACATACTATGGCATGATATATTGTTAATATGATATGTTTCTTGAATATATGTGTGTTTTGTTTCAACTTTCTGTGTAAACTAATGTTTCAGTTCATAATGTTACTCATACCAAATCAATTTCAATATGATGAAAATTTTAACTAAATAGTTTGAGGTTAATTTTGGTATTGCGAATATAACTTATTTAAGTGTGTGACACAACTCAAAACATACCAACTTAGAAACGGAAGGAGAGTAAAACTGAAATTACCGTAAGTCGGCAGAGAAACTTCTCGTGTGCACCAAGGCCCGAGATCTCGACAAGACCGGCTTCTGCTAAGGTCAAGAAACTTCTTCTCTCGGGCTTGCTTTGATCGCCGGATTCTTCTTCTCCGGTATCTGCACACGCTCTTACCAAACACAATCCCATCTTCCTTCTTCTACCTTGTGTTCTTGTCATGAATGTACTATTATTTGATCTTGCTTGTCGAGTCCTCTCTAAAGTCTTGCCTGTCTGAGGTTGTAAGATGACGTTTGAGTGATGATAATAAGTGACAATGTTCATAGTGATACCAAACTTCTCTTTGCTTTTCTTTCTCGATGAGTTAGAAGACGAAGATGAGGATAACACTTATCCGCTATGTTCGTTGTTTGTGTTGGGAAAATTTTTAGTGGTAAGGAATGAGTTCATATTTTGGGCTTTTTGATGTTGTGGGCTTTGGGGGTTTTGGATTTTTGGGCATTTGCGTCTTATATTGAATGGACAAGAGATTTGGGATTTCGTTTCTTTGTAGACACAAGATCAATGGAAAACATAGATTAGTATTCAGAGTACGCAACTGTCATATGCTAAATCTAATAAGATTCGAAAAGTCTTTAAATACAAATTTGAATCTTAATCTTCAATAGATGTAATGTATTGGAATGTTAAAAATCTCTATATAAAACACACTAAACATTAGTACATTACCTTTTGATGAATATAAACTGTTGGATATATCAAGATATATGGTCATAATAATAGTATTCAAAATGGTCTCATATTATCAATATATACAGACTCAAAAATAATTCATGAATATGGATTAAAGTAAGTATATATTTCTAATCAACTCCAAAATCATAGAAGTGCTTATATATATTAATAAGTTAAACTAAGTCAAATTAAATGTGAATGATTTTTTTTTAATAAAAAAATGTGAATGATTTTGTTCGGAGATTTTTGTTCAATTAATAGAATAAGTAAAAACGAATCATCTCAATTTTCCAGAGAGTTCTCGAGTGTGTTGCTGTCTTTCCTTCAAATTTCATGATAATTTTTAATATTAACAAGGTATCCATCAACTCTTTTATCGAACAAAATCCCATTAGAATTGACCAATATATATCAAACTAATACGTAAATTCAAGATGTATATTAATATAATTTGCATGGAGTCTTACGTAAGTGTCTTAAGTGGCAACATCAACTGCACAACCATTACGATTTCGTATCAAATTATATCGTTTTATATATATATGGACAAATGGATCTTCTGGTCATTGTCTGGTGACTCTGCTTCTTTCAACTGTTTAGGGTTCAAAGGCTTTTGTTTATACGAATCAGAAAACTTAAAATAATGACTAAAAATGAATATCCATACGGGAAGTGGGATGTATATATTTTTTAATTATTTTATCCTCTTTCATATTTTATTTGAAGAATTGATCGATAGACATTGTATATGTGTGGCTCTTATTATTGCCTAACTGTCCGTCGTTACTCGAAGTTGACGGTGAGTGCATTTTCTTTTAGTTTTGGATACAATCGCCAGAAAGACAGTACCAGATGATTAACGTAATTAATATCTGAAAACTAATGGTTAATGAACACCCGAAGCAAAAGGCTTATGTGGACCTGTGGAGTGCTTAAGTTGTAATGCGATAGTTTGTTGGATCTAATATTAATATTATGGTACCATGCGGACCTTACATGTCTATATATTTATCAAATAGTATATTAATTTGTCAAAAACGTTAATCAGCTAATGAGATTTGGTCAACTATATAGACACGTGGGCATCTCGTTGTGGCAAGTAATCATGCGCAAGCAAAGCTCTAGCTAGATTTTCGACAGGTTATAGCCTAATATAGCATTAACAGCTAACCTCTTATTATAAATTTTTAACTTAGATTGACTCATTTATTTATTGGTTCAATGGCATAATTTCGCACTTAATAACGATTTCATTTGTCGTTGGACCCGACAGATTCTTCACATCTCAAACGACGAGACATAAACCCAAATATTACGGATCGTTTGTGTTATTAAAATCAATCGTCTTTAAATAATCACTGTAAAGATCTCCGGAAGAAAAAGTGATATATCTATATTTTAGTATGTGTGATGTTCCATTGTTCCTAATAATTTTTTATCAATAAGAACGATAATTTTTTTTAAACGGCAATAAGAACGATGATTAAGATATAATTTTATGTTGCTTACATTAGATTTAGTACTCCGTAGCTAAATGTACTTTATAAATATAGATTTGAAATTGAAAGTGATACGACAATTCCTTTTAATGCCAATTAATTATTTCACAAATCTAATTACAATTTACAATTATTTGAAAGGTTTTGATCAGTAATCAATGTGTGCTTATGTATTCTTATATCATGAGGATTAATATACTTTTATTTCATGCTTTCTTTTTCGTGAAGATATGAAAGAAAAACGTTTGTATTATTTTTATTCACCATATATGTCATTATGGTAGTGTAATGGTCTTTATTTATATATATATATATATATATATTTGTTAGAGAGAAAATGAGCACATTTTCTAAAAGACTTTCTTTAGCAATAACCTAAGCTCATCAAGATTAGGAGGACTGTGCCGACCTAGCTCGGATAAAAGAAAAACTTCTAAAGATAATCTTCGAAGTCTGGAAGCATCGGATTGACTCGAAGGATAAAAGAAAATTTTCATATTCATCGGAGAATAAGAGATATTTCCATATCGCAAATATGAAAATATTGACCAAAGAGAAAAGAAATAAGATTTCAGAGCAACCGACCTCCTATCCTTATAAATAAGAAGATCCTGAAGCCGAAGAAAACAACTTATATAATCTAGAGAGAAGCATAGTTAAAATCAGGAACTCCAACGCTTTCTAGTTTACCTCGCAAATACTTTCTTTTCATCTCGGCGTAACCTCTCGGTTAAGTGAATCCTTGTAATCGTTTCGCTTATAGCTATTAATAAAAAAATCTTATTTTCTGAAACACACAACTGTTAATCAAATCATTTGTAGTGAATTTCTAATTCAACTATATTCATAGTCGATAGGTGTATATAATTATATATAAGATCTGTATATCTATGTGTGAATCATCTCTTTGGCCATGAAATTCAATATTCAGAACTGGAAATGATATTAATTTTTTAAAAATGTGTAGAGAACACGCGTCGATGAGCTAATGGTTCATACAAGCGGCTAATGGTTCTCACTTCATGCCATGCAAATGTACCAATCGTTTAATTTAGTTTTAATATAAATGACTATATCATCCTTGATCCAGCACTGATCCTGCACGTGAGCTTCATTTTAAAGTGAGTCGTTTTTCTTTTGAGCCGGCTGCTGCGTCCTCGGCTAAGAACTTCTCCTTATTCTTGTTGTTCACTCATATTTGTTAATGTTAATTCAATTTGGATTTAATTTTGTTTTTGTTTGATTATTGAAAGCAACTGAAACTAATTAATTTTGTTAAACTCAATCCGCTATGATTTTTATTTTATTTGAAAATAAATGAATTTTAATTCAATAATCATGATTTGTATATGTTCAAAAACCCACACAAGAAAAGCTAACAGGTACAAGATATTGGTTTTCATTATTTGGGAAACAGATAGCAACAGCTACTATATAATAATACTAATATGGCGAGAGTGTTGGATAATAATAATATTTTTTGTTTATAAAGTTATCACAGTCTCTCCACAATTAATGTTTTATAAATTTCGGCAAATACCAAACTCCATTATTGCCATTCGAATTAAATGCGCTCTCTTTCTCTATAATGCTATGTCAATATAGGAGATTGACTTTAATAAATTTGTCCTTAGACCTTGCAATCGAAGCGAAACGGTTGGTCCAATATTTTAAACTAAAGTATTTATCTTCATTTTGAAATATATTATTGTCTCAAGACTCATTGAATATATAAAAAAGTCAGTGAAGCGTATCACTATCTCAGTTACGGAAAGAAACTTGAACAAATTGAAATGAAGATATTAACGATGATCCGCCGACAATACTAAGACCAGTAATGTTTCAGAATTCAAACTCAGTACTTCGAAGGAAAGAACCAATCAACCTTGTTCAATCCAAGATTTCTTAAACTTTGGTAGATTTTAAAGGTAGTGAGAGTAGCTCGAGCCGAAAAGAGTTGAGCGTGAAAAATAGTTGTAACTTTTTTAACGTACATGTTGTAGTATTTTATTATTTTTCGGAGAAAGTTGAAAAATTAGTCCAAAGGGAAAAAAGCATGATAGGAGTTGAAATTGAGAGGGAGAAACGAACGTGGCATCTTCATGTTGGCGACAGCTAATGTGAAACCTTCCCACAAAGCTTGGAGAGCGACGCTCTTTCCTCAATCCTCACCCCTTTGATTGTGTTTCTTTCATTTTCTCACAAATTGTTTTTCTTTTCAAATTATTCGTAACACATACTATAGTATATAGTATATCATTATCTATAATTTATATAACTAATATAGTAATACCAATACGTAGCAACTATTTTCTTATACTGCATATGAAAGTACCATGAAATTAATTTTTTTTGTTTCTGTTTACCTAGAAAACTCTTGAAACCACGACCAACCAAACATTTTAATTACCCTCTTCAACAACGAGACTCGAACTTGAGATTCTGAATCGTACTTCTTTTGTAAATTAAATTTACATATACATTTGAGGTATAAGTTAATTTAAACCTTCTTGGATGTTAAAAGTTAATCATTTTACGTCTTGGACTTGAACTATGAAAAGAAACTCTCAATTTCAATCTCAAATAGGGTACATCGAAGGATTATTGTTTTTTTTTTTCATTATTTCCTTGACCATTATAAGGATTATTGATGGTTATTACTTAGAATAGATTATGTTACTCTTGTTTTTCTTTCTTATGTTAATTGACTCATATCATATGTTTCACGATCATAATGACTGAGACACAAAACTCCATTTTTTCAACCTTACAGCTACTTTTAAGAGTCATCAAAAATCCAATACAACAAGAAATCTTATTAAGACACCTTTATAATTACTTTTAACAAACTGTTGATCACCGTTCCATCGTAGGTTTAGTAAGTTCAACAATAATCAAGAAGAAAAATATGTCAATAATTGTTTTTTCAAGAAGAATATTTCACAACCCTTTTTTATTTGTAACACCGACCATGTATTCGATTGTTTTTAGCAAATTATGACATTTGAATTTTATAGAATTTTATTTAACATGTAAGCATATCAAAAACAAACTCAAACTCAAAAGAAAATCATCAAGCAAGTACTACAAAGGCGTGTCTTGTTTGCTACTTCATAAAGGTAAAAAAAGAAAAAGAAAACATATATAATAAACTGATAATTTATATGATATTTATTTTTTGGGGTCAAAAGGGACACGTATACCAATTGGGAAACAGAGGACGGCACCGAACCATTTTGACTTCCCTCTTCTTGCATCCCTATATATACTTTGTACTTCCCCTTACGGACCCTACGACCTTTTGTTTCTCTCTTCTCTATTAATTTCCTTAAACTTTATCATTAGCTCACTAATAAGCCATTTGACCAAGGTTTTTTGTTCTGATTAAAAAAACTCATCAAGAAAAATCAAATGGGAAGATCACCTTGTTGCGAGAAGAACGGGCTCAAGAAAGGGCCATGGACGTCTGAGGAAGACCAGAAGCTTGTTGACTATATCCAGAAACATGGATATGGTAACTGGAGAACCCTCCCCAAAAATGCCGGTTCGTGTCTTAATTTGTATTTTTATCTTGTTTTTTTTAATAATAGGATTTTCCAAAGTCTCCATTTTTGATATTTTTTTTTCTTCATCAGGTTTGCAGAGATGTGGCAAGAGTTGTCGGTTAAGGTGGACTAATTATCTCCGACCAGATATCAAACGTGGAAGGTTCTCTTTTGAAGAAGAAGAAACCATTATTCAGCTTCATAGCTACTTAGGAAACAAGTGAGTTTAGTTAATTTATTTTTTCTCAGACAATTTCTTCTTTGAGCTATATTGTTCAAGATTCTTATGTGTTTGGTTTCTTGATAATTTTGTTATAGATGGTCGGCGATTGCGGCGCGTTTGCCTGGAAGAACAGATAACGAGATCAAGAATTTTTGGAACACACATATCAGAAAGAAGCTACTAAGAATGGGTATTGATCCAGTGACTCACAGTCCACGACTCGATCTCCTCGATATCTCATCCATCTTAGCATCATCTCTATACAATTCCTCTTCGCATCATGTGGACATATCAAGACTCATGATGGATGCTCATCGTCATCAGCAACAACATCCATTGGTTAACCCTGAAATACTCAAGCTAGCTACGTCTCTCTTCTCTCAAACCCAAAATCAAAATCAAAACCAAAACTTCGTATTGGATCATGACTCAAAAACTCAAGAGACCAGCACGGTTTATTATAATGATGTTAACCAAACCGGAGGACATCAATACCAAACCGATCATCAAGAACTTCAGTCTTGCATGCCGCCATTCCCCAATGAAGCTCAATTTAACGACATGGATCGTCAATTCAATGGTTTTGGAGAACAAACCCTCGCTTCAACCTCGAACACGTCGGTCCAAGATTGCAGTGTTCCATCGTTCAACGATTATGCAAGCTCAAGTTTGGTATTAGATCCTTCTTATTCAGACCAGAGCTTCAACTTCGCTAATTCGGTCTTGAACACGCCATCCTCAAGCCCGACTACTTACATCAATAGTAGCAGTTGCAGCACTGAAGATGAGATGGAAAGCTATTGCAGCAATCTCATGAAGTTTGATATTCCCGATTTCTTGGACGTTAATGGTTTTATTATATAATTCCAAGAAACTAAATAAAAATCTATTGGGATAGAGCTTTTTTTTATTTGTTGTAATTGCAAGACTTGTTTTTTTCATTTTGATTTGTGTACATGTAAAATACCACATATCTCCTTGTTGTTTGTTTGTTTAGAGTTCCTATCTAATACTATTTTTTTTAATAAGTGGAGTGTCCATTATTGATATCCACTTTTTATTTAAATATTTATATTTGGCCGGCTTCATATGCATAGTCTCTGTCAATATTATATTTGACTCAGTGATATGTATAATTGATATGAGGTGCTAAAATTTCCTGATATAGACATAAATAAATATTTTTGTAGTTACATAATTGACTTCTGCCATGTTTCCCAAAATGTATTAATGAAAACGTATGAGCCAAACCAATATAGTCCAAATGATTACCATATAGCGTGTAGCCTTGTATACTTTATGTTTTTTCATGATCACAATACCCACCACATGCATTCCCAGCAAGATCTCAAGTAACTTTCTAAACTAATTAGCAATTTATTAGTATTTCATTTTATAGCATGTCTAAGATTTACCAAAAGGTTGCTATCATTGCTACATTTTATGAAGAGGTTTCATGATATTTTTTGAGTTTTCGTTTCACATAAACTTTATAAAAAAAAAATGCATAAACACATTAAGAAGTGAAAGGTGTACACTAGCTATGTAGCTATAAGTAGTTAGTTTGGTATTTTACTTGACATTTCGTCGAAAAAACCAGTTTAAGAAAGAAAATCAAAATGTTTTAGAACAGTATCATCTAATCAAAATCGTTTACCCAAACGGCCACACATTAGTGTTTTTGTTTGTAAACAAAGGAGAAAAACTTTACTGTAGAAAGTGAATATCCGATGACACAAACCAGCGAGAATTGCCGGCGCGTGCAGTGCACGTGAGGACATGTGTTCTTCGTCTTTACGTGCAGAAGCAAAGGAGTTGTAACTATTGCTTCATGGGATTATTAAAAAGTATCTAATGAGTTAGCGACACGTGTAGATGTATTGTCGATGACTTGGCAAGTAATTAAGGCAAAAAGAAAAGAAGAAAAAAGCGTCCTTATTATTGGAATCACGGCGTAGGTTTTAATTTGAATCGCTTTACACATGTACGTAAACTACGTATCACACACCCTTTAAGATAGGGAACACGTGGAACTCAATAATAGATCTGTGGGTCCTGCTTTTGTGTGTTGAACAACGATTTTTGGATGAGCTGTTAATTTTTGACTGCTGGATTGGACATAACTGTATTTTTTTAAAATAAATAAAACTGAAATAACATTTTATCCTTTCTGATCGAATAAATGCTGTGATTTTGACATATGATTTTTTGGGGGGCCGAAATATGTGATTTTTTTTTTCTTCTTTCTGTGTATCTTTAAACATTTTTCAATGCACCTTCGAAAAGTTATGCATTTATCTCTGTCAATTATTTATTGCTGTATATTAGTATGTGACTTTTTGGCGGTTCTTCTTGTAGAGACCATAATGATTTCCTAATCACTTTATAAGGTAAAGTCTTAGGTTGTTTAGATGAGTGTAAAATAAACATAATTAATCCAAAAGGTATATGTTTGTAAAGGTCGAGAGAAACGTGTATTGAGAGTTATTGATTATGATACAAGTATATCGCTTATATATACATTGAGAGATATGGAGATAAGAAGAGATCTAAGCTAAAGAGATCTAAGCTAACAATATACAGGATATTCCGAGATATACTGATAACAATATACAATATCTTGAAAGATGCTCTTCGCTGCACTTATCTTCTATACGCCCCCGCAAGATGAACGACCGTTAGAGAGCCCAATCTTGGAATTCAGTTGCTCAAGACGCAGACGTGGCAGTGGCTTGGTAAGAGCATCAGCGAGTTGGTCATAAGATGAGACATGAGCAACTCTAAGAAACCGAGACTGAACCAGCTGTCGCACGAAGTGATAGTCAAGCACCACATGCTTCATACGCGAGTGAAACACTGGATTAGCAGAGAGATATGTGGCGCCAACATTGTAACAATAAATCACAGGCTGGGAAGATGGAGTAATGCCAAGCTCAGTCATCAAGTGAGCAACCCAGCGTAGCTCAGCAGCTGTATCTGCAACAGACCGATACTCAGCTTCTGTAGAAGACCGAGTCACCGTTTTTTGTTTCTTCGAAGACCAAACGATAGGGTGAGAACCGAGATAGACAATATAAGCACCAGTAGAAGTATAATCATCTCGGTTGCCAGTCCAGTCAGCATCAGAGAAGGCATGAAGGTTCAAATTGTTGTTGCTGCGAAGGAAGATACCTTGGTCACGAGTTCCCGAGAGATATCGAAGAACACGTTTAGCAGCCTGCCAGTGAAGATCTGTTGGCTTATGCATAAATTGGGATAATTTGTTCACCGCAAAAGCAACATCTGGCCGTGTGAAATGAAGATACTGAAGGCTGCCAACAACAGTGCGATACTCACGGCCATCATCAAGAGGAGTACCTGAATTGAGCTGCAGTGTGCAGGTCGATGCCATAGGAGTGGCCACAGGATTGGCGTCCAACATATTAGTGCGGGCTAAGAGATCTGTGATGTACTTTTGCTGAGTGAGAAGGAGTCCTTTATCACTGCGATGAGCTTCAATACCAAGGAAGTAACTGAGAGCACCCAAGTCTTTGAGCGAAAAATGATTACCCAGAAGCTGAATGAAGCGCTCAATGGCAGTGGAATCATTTCCAGTAATGACTATGTCATCCACATAAACTAGGATCATACAAGGCTTTGCGAAGTTTGCAAACATAGTCTGGTTTTTCCCGATCCACAAAACCAGAGGGTTGAGCGATGTAAACGTCCTCATCAAGATTGCCCTGGAGAAAAGCATTATTGATGTCTAGCTGCCTGAGATCCCAACCACGATCAACAGCTTGTCCAAGAACAAGACGCACAGTGGCAGCTTTGATTACAGGACTGAAGGTTTCTTCATAGTCGAGACCCGGTCTTTGATGAAATCCTTTAGCAACAAAACGCGCCTTATACTTATCAATTTCTCCATTAAGAAGGCATTTGATTCGAAATACCCACTTAGTGCCAACAAGATTGTACGATGGATCAGGAGGTACTAAATCCCATGTCCGATGCTTCACCTGTGCATCATGTTCGGAACCCATAGCAGCACGCCACCTAGCATCCTTCATAGCCTGAGCAACAGAAGTGGGTTCCGTTTCACTAGCAACAACGGCAAGCTTCGCATTTTAGGATTAGGTTTAACAATGTCATTCTGAGCTCGCGTCACCATTCGATTATTGTTTTGTGGCAACGAAGAAGATGATTTTGTAGCACAAGTGGGCTTAATGACAGGCCCAATGACAATAGCTTCATCTGAAGGTGCTTGATCAATTTCAATTGGGTTGGGCCGAGTTTCTAAATTCTGCAGCTGCCTGTCATCATCAAGAGGCCCAATTAAAGAATCAGATGCAGCTAGCCCATTCACATCAGGAGCAATCTCAGCTTCCTCTCGAATTGGAGATGAGATTGGTGGTGGTGACGGATCCGAGCCTAGGGGCGACGCAGCTATTGACGACGGTGAAATCGAATGGCCAGAGAGCTTCAATAATGGTGGGAACCAGAGAGTGGAGGCGGAGTCCGATGATGGAGTGGAAGGAAGATGACTGTAAGGAAACGAAGTTTCATGAAATTGGACGTGACGAGAGATAAAAATTCTTTTCGAGGATGGGTCGAGGCAAAGATAAGCACTTTGTGTTGAAGAATAGCCAAGAAAGATGCATGAAGTTGACCGTGTTTGGTATATGGTCTGAGCCATGGGTAACAGTGACAACCGAATACTCGGAGTTTTGTATAATTTGGAGACGAGCCAAAGAGACATTCAAAGGGAGAAGAGTGAGAGAGAGTAGATGTGGGGAGGCGATTTATGAGATAGGCTGCAGCAGATAGAGCATAGCTCCAATAAGTGAGAGGGATGGAGGCGTGGGAAAGGAGGGCTAAGCCTGTTTCAACAAGATGTCGATGACGTCGTTCAGAAAAACCATTGTGTTATGGGGTATGAGGAGGAGAGGTAAGGTGAGTGATCCCATTTTCGGCTAGGAATTTGGACATGGCGATGTATTCGCCACCATTATCCGAATAAAGGGTGATGAGTTTTGTGTTTAGTTTGTTTTCAAGAAGCTTTTTGAACCGAATAAAGGTTTCAAGGACATCAGATTTATGACGAAGGGGATACAGCCAGATGTAGTGAGTGAAATGATCAACAAAGGTCACATAGTATTTGAATAAATCGATGGAATGAACAGGAGAGGTCCATACATCAGAATACACGAGATCAAGAGGCTTAGTAGAGGAGAAGGTAGAGATAGAGAATGGGATTTTATGGCTTTTTGAAACTGAACAAGCGTTGCATAGAAGAGATGAATCTTTATTAGAAATAGGCAGAGAATAATGAGAAACAACGGTTTGTAAAGTAGACAAAGATGGATGTCCAAGGCGAGAGTGCCAAATGGGCAAATGACTTTTTATTGAAGCAGAAAGAGCAAAGAATTTGGATTCATCGGAAGCTGGCCATTCATATCCACCATTAGTCGTCTTTCCTGTGGTTAACTGGGCCCCCGAGCTGAGATCCTTCACCTGAAACCAATCAGGGAAAAATTCCACCGAAACAGAGTTGTCAGAACACAATTGTCGAACAGATATCAAATTCCGAGCAATCTCAGGTACTCGTAAAACATTATGCAGAGATAGAGTACGAGAAGAATGTGGTAAAGAGAGGGAACCAGTATGGGTGATTTGGAGTCCGTCTCCGTTTCCCACAAGCACTTCCTCCGAGCCAGTGTAAGGAGAGTGAAGTGCGAGATTTGCAAGATCCGACGTGATATGGTGTGTCGCTCCGCTATCAACAAGCCAAGACGATGGATCAGGTGGCATCATTGAAGCATTGTAAGCACGTGGAGTCGAGTTCTAAGCTCCTCTGGGTTGAAATGATGGCGTCGATTGTGAAGAGTGCGAAACTAGCCGAAACTGAGGACAGTACTTAACACTGTGTCCATGTGTTCCACAAGCTTGACACTTCCCCAGGTATGGCCGCCGAGTTGTATTTTGCTGAGGACGAGGAGAGCTGTTGCGCTGCTCTGCAGTAGAGTTTGGTCGCCAGTGACGATTCTTGTTATACGCATAATTTGCAGTAACAGGAAAAGGAGAGGATGATGGTGGAATGG